GTTGTCTCAGCACTGTTTGTTAAAAAGACTATTCTTTCCCCATTGAATGGTCTTGGCACCCTTATTTCAAATCAGTTGCCCTTAGCTGTCTGGATTCATTTCAGGGCTCTCACTTCTATCCCATTGATTTCTATGTCTCTCCCTATGCTGGTACTACACTCTCTTGATTACTGTAACTTTGTAGTAAGTTTTGAAATTAGGAAGTGTGAGTCCTCCAGCATTATTATTCTTTTTCAAGATTCCTGAGTCCTTTGTGTTTTCATATAAATTTTAGGATCAGTTCCGTTTCTGCAAAAAAGGCCATTGAGATTTTGATAGGTTTCCCCTAATGCTAACATCTTACAAGACTATGATCCATTTGTCATAGCTAAGAATCAACACTGGACATCAGTGTTAACCAGACTCCAGACTTTATTTGGATTTCCCCAAGTTTTCCCACTCATGGCCTTGTTTTCTGATCCAGGATCACCTTTAGGGTCCCACATCACATTTAGTCATCATATCTCCTTGGTCTCCTCCAATCTGAAAATTTTAGTCTTTCCTTGTCTTTCATGACCTTGACACTCTTCTTTTTCCTTTCTTTGTTTATTTTTATTTTTTTGTTTGTTTATTTTTGAGACAGGGTCTTGCTTGGTCACCCGGTATATTAGTCCATTTTCATGCTGCTGATAAAGACATACCCAAGACTTGGTAATTTATAAAGAAAAAGAGGTTTATTGTTATTTATTTATTTATTTATTTATTTTGAGATGGAGTCTCGCTCTGTCACCCGGGCTGGAGTGCAATGGCACAATCTCAGCTCACTGGAACCTCTGCCTCCTAGGTTCAAGCAATTCTCCTGCCTCAGCCTCCTGAGTAGCTGGGATTACAGGCACCTGCCATCGTGCCTGGCTAATTTTTGTATTTTTGTAGAGGTGGGCTTTTACCATGTTGGGCAGGCTGGTGTGTTGTACTCCTGACCTTAGGTGATCCGCTTGCCTTGGCGTCCCCAAATGCTGGGATTAGAGACGTGAGCCACCATGCCCAGCCAGAAAAAGAGGTTTAATGGACTCACAGTTCCATGTGGCTGGGGAGGCCTTACAATCATGGCAGAAGGTGAAAGGTACGTCTTACATGGTGGCAGACAAGAGAGAATGGGCACCAAGTGAAAAGGGAAACCTCTTATAAAATTAACGGATCTCATGAGACTTATTCACTACCATGAGAACAGTATGGAGGAAACTGTCCCCATGATTCAATTATCTCCCACTGGGTCCCTCCCACAACACATGGGAATTATGGGAGCTACAATTCAAGATGAGATTTGGGTGAAGACACAGCCAAACCATAGCACCCCAGACTGGAGGGTAGTGGCACAGTCATGACTTACTGCAGCCTTGGCCTCCTATGCTCAAGTGATCCTCCTGCCTCAGCCCCCTGAGATAGCTGGGACTATAGGCTTGTGCCACCACATCCAGCAATTTTTAAATATTTTTTGTAGAGATGGAGTTTCGCCATGTTTTTCAGGCTGGTCTTGAACTCCTGAACTCTAGCAATCTGCCTACCTCAGCCTCCCAAAGTGTTAGGATTACAGGCATGAGCCACTGCACTTAGCTGACATTCTTCTTTTTGCTGCTCAAATTTTCCAAATTTGGCTTTGGGAGTACCTTAGGGCCAGCTTCTTAGACAGATTCTTCCTTTAGGGGGAGGTAGAATGACATTTATTTTTCTTACTATTTATTTATTTGTTTACTTAAAAAATACTGGTTGATTGATTGATTGGTTGAGACAGGATCTCACTCTGTTGCCCAGGCTAGAGTGCAGTGGCATGATCATGGCTCACCACTCCTTGACCTCCCTGGCTCAAGTGATCCTTCCGCCTTAGCTTCCTGAGTAGCTGAGACTACAGGCACCCACCACGGCATCCAGCTAGTTTTTGTATTTTTGTAGAAATGGGGTTTCACCATGTTGCTGTGGCGGGTCTTGAACTCCTAGACTCAAGCGATCCTCTTGCCTCAGCCATTCAATGTGCTGAGATTACCAGGTGTGAGCCACTGTGCCTGGCCAAAGTTTTTTGATTTTTTTATAGACGGGGTCTCACTTTGTTGCCCAGGCTGGTCTCAAGCTCTTGGGCTCAAGTGATCTGCCTATCTTAGCCTACCAAAGTACTGGGATTACAGGTGTGAGCCATGGCATCCGGCCAGAATGACACTTATTAGCCACCTACAGTGTCCACTGTACAATGTTGAGTATGACACACACATCATCTCATTGGAGCCTCAAGACCCTCTGTCCAGGAGATAACAGCCTTATTTTACAGATGGGAAAACAGGCTCAGAGAGGTGAAATGATTTGCCCAAGCTTCCATGGCAAGAATGTCACTCTTCCCCTACTCCAGATATCCCTATTCTGGGCTTTCAGGGTGATCCCAACATTTGGAGACAGTCACAGGTTGCAAAACATGGAACAGAGGAGGGGATTCCTAGGGCTAAGTATTGGACATGGCCACACCAACCCCCTAGAGAGATCTTAAGACCTGGGAGGCCTTAGCTTTCCTGATATCAGAATAATGGCAGCTTCAGGGTTCAGTGTGGGGCCTTGGCATCAGCTCCCCTGAGTATAATCCTGCCCTACACTCACTGACATTGGACAAAGAACCAAGGCCTCAGTTTCCAGTTTTCCCCTCTGGGAACTTGGGGACTATGATAGGACCCAACTCATTGAGTTCATATCCTAAGAGAAGGCCCAGCCCACTGGCGGCATTAGCACATTCAAAATTAGGAAACAGTATTTTATTTTTATTTTTTTGGAGACAGGGTCTCACTCTGTTACCCAGGCTGGAGTGCAGTGGTACGATCATGACTCACTGCAGCCTTGACTTCCTAGGCTCAAGTGACCCTCCCACCTCAGCCCCCTGAGTAGCTGGGACTACAGGCATGTGCCACCACGCCCGGCCAATTTTTTTTTTTTTGTACTTTTTTGTAGAGATAGGGGTCTTACTGTGTTGCCCAGGCTGCTCTCTAACTTCTGAACTTGAGCGATCTGTCTGCCTCAGCTCCCCAAAGTGCTGGGATTACAGGCAAGAGCCACTGTGCCTGGCCGTAAACAGTTCTTAAGACAACTTTTTCTTCTGATGCCAATTGCAGAGTTTGGGGGTCCTCACACTACTGCAGTTTCTTTAATTCTCTAGAAGAATTAACAGGACTCACTAAAAGCTGTTATACTTACGGTTACAATTTATTACACTAAACAATACACATGAAAATCAGTGAAGACAAGAGGCTGATGATGCAGAGTCCAGAAGAATTCTGAACATGAACTTACTTGTTCTCTCTGCATAGAGTCAGGGACAGTGTTATTTTCCCACCAGAGATGTGGGACAGCATGCATGGTGTACTGCCAACTAGGGAAGCTCCCTGGAACCTTGGTGTCCAGAGTTATGTTTCCTCCTCCTCCTCCTTCTCCTCCTCCTCCTCCTCCTCCTCCTCCGTCAGGGATGTGTTATTTTCCCACCAGAGATGTGGATGGCATGCATGGTGTACTGCCAACTAGGAAGCTCCCTGGAACCTTGTGTCCAGATATAAGCTTTCTTTCTTCTTCTTCTTCTTCTTCTTTCTTCTTCTTTCTTCTTTCTTCTTCTTCTTCTCCTTCTCCTTCTCCTGAGCCCCTTCCTTTCTCTCCTTCTTCTCCTTTCTCCTTTCTCCTTCTCCTTCTCCTTCTCCTTTTCCTTCTCCTTCTTCTCCTTTCTCCTTTCTTCCTTCTCCTTCTCCTCCTCCTCCTCCTCCTCCCTTCCCTCCCCTCCTCCCTCCTCCCTCCTCCTCCTCCTCCCTCCCCTCCTTCTCTCTCTCTCCTTCTTCTCCTTCTCTCCTCCTTTCTCCTTCTCCTTCTCCTTCTCCTCCTTCTCCTTCTCCTCCTTCTCCTTCTCCTCCTTCTTCCTCTCCCTCCCTTCTTCCTCTCTCCTCCTCCTTCTTCTCCTTCTTCTCCTTCTTCTCCTTCTTCTCCTTCTTCTCCTTCTTCTCCTTCTTCTCCTTCTTCTCCTTCTTCTTCTTCTTCTTCTTTCAAATAGAGATGGGATCTTGCCATGTTGCCCAGTCTGGTCTCAAGCCCCTGGCCTCAAGCAATCCTCCTGCTTTGGCCTCCCATAGCACTGGGATTACAGGCATGAGCTGCCACACCTGGCCTGGTGTCCAGAGTTTTCACTGGAGCTCAGTCACATAGACACAGATGACCACCTGCCTCCGTGACTAATCTCATTCCCCAGCTTCTCCACAGGTTGATCTGATGCTGCATGGCCCAAGGCCTCCTCCAGAAATCATATTTATTACTACCTGATGTGACCCAAGACCCCAAGTAGACAAAGATGCTCTTATCACGCAGGACATTCGAAGAGCTTAAATCACCTCCCAGGAGCTATGGGCAAAGACCAGCCTTCTCTTTAGGCCAGGTTCAATTCTTTACTGCACGACACCTTACTGAGGGCTTTCACACCATCATCACGTTTCATCTATACCACAATCCTGCAAGGAGGTGAGCCTCAGGCCATATACAGAACTAGGGGCCACCGGCTGGGTGCGGTGGCTCACGCCTATTAATGCCAGCACTTTGGGAGGCCGAGGTGGGTGGATCACAAGGTCAGGGTTTGAGACCAGCCTGGCCAACATGGTGAAACCCTGTTTCTACTAAAAATACAAAAATTATATGGGCATGGTGGCGGGTGCCTGTCATCTTGGCTACCCAGGAAGGAGGCTGAGGCAGGAGAATCACTCGAACCCAGGAGGGAGAGGTTGCAGTGAGCCGAGATCTCACCATTGCATGCCAGCCTGGGTAACAAGAGTGAAACACCATCTTAACAAAGAAAACAAAACAAAACAAAACAAAAAACTAGGGGCCAGGACTGGATGCTGGGCACTCCGCTCCCTCAGCCATCCCAGCCTCCCTCTGGCCCCAGAGTGGCTGTTTCCCTGTGGTGGGCTGCAACGTTGGTGTCAGGCAGGGTCCCCCATGCTGCGTGTCTTCCATAGGTTGGGGAAGAAGCCGATTTTTCTGTGAGGTCCACATGTCCCTGCAACTTTACCCTGTACTACGAGGTGGCTGCGCGGGGCAATATTGTGCTATCGGGCCAGCAGCCTGCCCACGTCACCCAGCAGCGAAGCAAGCGGGCAGCCCCTGCCCTGGAGAAACCGATTCGTTTAACACACCTTTCTGAGACAGGTGAGCCGAGCAGCAGGGAGAAGGTTCCTGTTCTTCCTTCTGAACCATTGAGACTAAGGTGGGTGCTCCTGTAAGGAAGGACAAGGCAAAACCCAGCGGAGAGGGGAGCCTGCCTTGGGGCAGAGGGGACACATCCTTAACAATACCAGACTGGTCCAGGAGGACAGTGATCAGCCGCTGGAAGTGGAGAGGTTCAGGCCCCAGGCTCTTCTCACTCTGTGTCTGCAGGGGACAGGGACAATCCAGCCACAGACTGGGCTCTTGCACTGGCCCACACTGTGCTGTTGCCTCTTTGCCCAGGTGGTTCTGCCTATGAGTCCTCTTCCTTTTCTCTCTTTTTGACACCATGTGCTCCTTATAAGGCCCTCCTCGCAGGGGACTTCCTTAGTCCCCTCTTCTTCAAAGCCCTTCTTGCCAATACAGGATCCCCAACTTGAGCACTATAGACATTTAGGAGGGGGTAGATCACTCTAGAGTGGATGGCACTCTCTGCACTGTAGGGTGCTGAGCAGCATCCCTGGTCTCTCCCCCTCAGATGCCAGTAGTACCAGCTCTCCACAGTATGATGACCTCAAAAGTCTTCAGATATTGCCACTATCCCCAGGGGGCAGAGTCACTCCCAAGTGAGAATCACTGAGATAGGTAGGTAGATAGATAGAATGATGGGTGAATAGATAGATAGACAGGCAGGGTCTCTCAGGCTAAGGCAAGGTTTCCCAACCTTGGCACTATCAGCATTTGGGCAAGATCATTCTCTGTGGTGGAGGCACTGTAGAATGTTGAGCAGCATCCCTGGCCTCCACTCCCTAGATGCCAATAGCCCTATAGGTGATGGAGGGATGGATTGATGGATGGATGGGCAGATAGGAAGATGGATGAATGGATGGTTGGATTCCTCCTCGCAGGGGACTTCCTTAGTCCCCTCTTTCTTCAAAGCCCTTCTTGCCAATACAGGATCCCCAACTTGAGCACTATAGACATATAGAAGGGGGTGGATCACGTGAGTGGATGGCACTCTCTGCACTGTAGGGTGCTGAGCAGCATCCCTGGTCTCTCCCCCTCAGATGCCAGTAGTACCAGCTCTCCACAGTATGATGACCTAAAAGTCTTCCCAGATATTGCCACTATCCCCAGGGGGCAGAGTCACTCCAAGTGAGAATCACTGAGATAGGTAGGTAGATAGATAGAATGATGGGTGAATAGACAGATAGACAGGCAGGTCTTCAGGGCTAAGGCAAGGTTTCCCAACCTTGGCACTATCAGCACTCTGGGCAAGATCATTCTCTGTGGTGGAGGTAATTGTAGAATGTGGAGCAGACCTTGGCCTCTACTCCTAGATGCTAATAGCCCTATAGATGATGGAGGGATGGATTGATGGATGGATGGGCAGATAGGAAGATGGATGAATGGATGGTTGGATGGATGGACTGATAGAATAGTGGATGGATGGAAGGATGGATGGATGGATGGATGGATGGACAGATGGATGGATGGACAGAAAGATGGATGGATGGATAATGGGTGGGTGGATGATTGGATGAATAGATGGATGGATGGATGGATAGTGGGTGGGTGGATGGATGGATGATGGATGAATGGATGGATGGTTGGATCGGGATCGATGGATGGATAGTGGGTGGATGGGTGGGGATGATGGATGGAAGAATAGATGGATGGATAGTGGGGTGGGTGGATGAGTGGATGATGGATGGATGAACAGATGGATAGGGATGATTGATGGTGGATGGATGGGTGGATGATGGATGAATACACAGATGGATGGATAGTGAATGGGTGGGTGGACGATGGATGATGAATAGAGGGATGGGTGGATGGATGGATGGTGGTGGTGGTGGGTGGATGGATGGATGGTGGTGGTGGTGGGTGGTTGGAGTGGGTGGATGTGATAGATGGTTGGTGAATAGAGGGAAGGTGGATGGTGGGTGCGTGGATGGAGGGTAGATGGTGGATTGATGAAGATATGAATGGATGGATGGATAGATAGAAAGATGAGTGGATAGGTGGATGGATGGATAAATAGATAGAGAAGATCCCTCTTTCTTAGGCAGGCTTTCTCACCCTCTGCACTGTCAACATTTGGGATCATCCCATGCACTGTAGGATGGTGAGCAGCATCTTTGGCTTCTACTCACCAGAAGCCAGTAGCATCCCTTCCAGCAATGATGACCAAAAAATGTCTGCAGACATTGCCAGCATCCCCTGGGTAGCAGAATTGCCTTGGTTGACAACTGCTGGCCAGAGTTGTGCTTTTGGCATGGTGTACCTGCATCCTCTTGGTCTTCTCTTCTCTTCTGGGTGAAATAACAGGGGCTTTATGTCTTCCTGGAACCCTTGTCCGGGGCTGGCCCTGGGCTTGGGACTCCCCACAATCTGTCCCCATTTAACCCAACTGCAGCCTGGGCTGGTGGTGGTTCCACTGTGTCCATCTGCAGATGAATGGGCTGTGACTTGGGGGTTTCAGGGACTTTTCCATTGCCTAGTAAGGGCCAGAGCCAGGATTTGAACCCCAAGGCCAATTGGGTACCCACCTCTTCCTACTGGCCGTGAGTTTCCTTCTGCCCCCAGTTCCCCCAACCATCCCTGTCCACTGGCTGCTCTGAACTCTGCACAGAATCAGCTGACAGATGGCCCATTCTGGAACTGGGTGCCTTTCTACTCTCATTCTCTTGCAGTAGAGTACTTGGGAGTGCCTGGACAGGCTTCTAAGATCCTCTATCCTTTAAGGATCATTTACCCACAAGGAAGGAAGTATGAACTCAGTTCAAGTCAGCAAATAATGGCTGCCCAGGTCTGCTGGCCTCAGGCCCCAGCAAGATGGAGCCAATCAGAGGGAGAGATCGGGGGTCAGGGGCATACTGGGGAGCTGGAGTGGTGCTGCCTGGACAGGCCAAGGTGGTTTTGCTGTCCACGGAGGAAGCAGAGGGCTGGTCAGGGAGAAGGGACCGTGTTCCCTGGCAGAGAGGATGATTCTAGGCAAATTCCAGCCTGCTCTGTAGGAGCCCATGGTGACCCTAGAGCTGAGTCAATGGGAAGAGTCAGCATTGACTGAGGATGTAGCCTGGGAAGGGCATTTCAAAACCGAAGATGCAGACTGTCTCAATGTGTAGACAGGAGTATAGTGCAGGGCAAATTGGGGCAGAGCCTGAATGGCTGAGGTTGCATGTCAGATGTGGAGAGTTCACCACTTCTCTCTACTTTTGCTCACCTCAGAGCCCCCACCAGCCCCAGCAGCTGAGGTCAATGTGTGTGTGACCTCTCTTCGTCTGGCCGTGACCCCCAGCATGGTCCCCCTCGGTCGCCTGCTGGTCTTCTATGTCAGGGAGAATGGAGAAGGGGTCGCCGACAGCCTTCAATTTGCAGTTGAGACCTTCTTCGAAAACCAGGTAGAGCATTGCACACTGAACCCGGGACACAGCCAAGGACCCTCGGGGCTTCTCCAAGGTGCTGACCAGGGGTTCTGTACACACCTGAGACTCATGTTGTGTCAGTGTGACATAAGGAATTGTGGGAACATGAGTTGCATCTTTACTGAAGCGTCTCCAAAAGTCACCCAAAAGGAAATTGCGTTCACAACACATAAGGAAAGCCATCAATTGTTTTCTACCTTTGTTGAATTCAGGATTTAAGGGACAGCACTTGTTTCTATCAGCACCCTCAGCCTCCTATCCCCCTCCCTGCAACAACTTTTATCATTACCATTATTTTTTGAGACGGAGTCTAGCTCTGTCACCCAGGCTGGAGTGCAGTGGTGTGATCTCGGCTCACTGCAGCCTCTGCCTCCCGGGTTCAAGCAATTCTCCTGCCTCAGCCTCCTGAGTAGCTGAGATTACAGGCATGCACCACCACGTCTGGCTAATTTTTGTATTTTTAGTAGAGACGGGGTTTCACCACTTTGGCCAGGCTGGTCTTGATCTACTGGCTTCAAGTGATCCTCCCGCCTCAGCCTCCCAAAGTGCTGGGATTACAGTTGTGAGCCACTGTGCCTGGCTCCTCCCTACAACTTCTAAACAGACTGCCACATGCTCTCGGCCAGCACTGCCTTCCCATCTCTCCCTGTCCCTCTGTGTTCCCTTTTTTGTGTCTGCTGCACAATGACCAGCTGCCCATCACAGTGTGGGACCAGTTCCAACCAGGTGGCAAGGCAGAGCAGGCAAAGACCCACTGTCCTCGGTGGGCAGGGAGTGCATGGGTGAGGCAGAAGAGATGCCTCTGGACTGGACCAAACCTGGGTTGAACCAAGTTTTTTGTTGTTGTTGTTTGAGACGGAGTTTCACTCTTAGTGCCCTGGCTGGGGTGCAACAATGCTGTCTTAGCTCACTGAAACCTCTGCCTCCCGGCTTCAAGAGATTCTCCTGCCTCAGCCTACCAAGTAGCCGGGATGCCAGGCACCCGCCACCAGGCCCAGCTAAATTTTGTATTTTTAGTAGAGACGGGATTTCACCATGTTGGCCAGGCTGGTCTCGAACACCTGACCTCAGGTGATCCACCCGCCTCAGCCTCCCAAAGTGTTGGGATTACCGGCGTGAGCCACGACTCCCGGCCAACTGAACCAAGTTTCTTATCCCTTGTCGCATTTGTGCCCAGGTTTCAGTGACGTATTCAGCAAATGAGACCCAACCTGGGGAGGTTGTCGACCTGCGGATCAGGGCTGCAAGGGGCAGCTGTGTGTGTGTCGCCGCAGTTGATAAGAGTGTCTACCTGCTCAGGTCTGGGTTCCGGCTGACTCCTGCCCAGGTGAGCAGAGCCCTCGGGTTTGGGTTCTGGTACCTCCATGGGGCCTTACCTTCTCTTGCTCTCCCTTTCCCATCTCCCATTTTAATAATTGAAGAGCTGCGTTTGAATCCAGATTTGCTTTCTCCGTCAGGTTCATTTCTCAGGGAACCTGATGGGTGTCTGATACATCCTTGTTGCTGCTTTAGCACAGTTACAAGATCAGGGAGTCAAGGTCATCAGATTTTTGCAACATGACATTGGACCAGGTCTCGTCTCTCTGGCTCCAATTTTCCCATCTTATTTTATGTTATTTTTAGAGCTGTGGTCTTGCTCTGTTGCCTGGGCTGGAGTGCAGTGGCGTGATCATAGCTCACTGTAGTCAATACCTCCGGGGCTTAAGCGATCCTCCCACCTCAGCCTCCAGAGTAGCTGGGGCTACAGGCATGCACCCCCATGCCTGGCTAATTTTTTCTATCTTTGTAGGGACGGGGTGTTGCTATGTTGCCCAGGCTGGTCTCGAACTCCTTTGCTCAAGCCAGCCTCCTGGTTCAGCCTCCCCAGCGACTAGGATTACAGGCATGAGCCACTGTGCCTGGCTCCTGTTTGCCCATTTTAAAATGGGCTGATGCTACCAGTGCCCATCTCCTGGAGGTTGTCATGATGTGATAAAGAGGTTGGGATGGGAGCACACTGCACCCACGAGAGCCAGTTTGGGTTGTAAAGAAAACTTCAACTGACCAGTCTCTGTCCCCCTTTGCCTGCAGGTTTTCCAGGAACTGGAAGATTATGATGTTTCTGATTCCTTTGGCGTGTCCAGAGAGGATGGTCCTTTTTGGTGGGCTGGGCTGATGGCCCAACGACGCCGGCGCTCCTCCGTCTTCCCGTGGCCTTGGGGCATCACCAAGGACTCTGGGTTTGCCTTCACCGTAAGGAGAGGTGGTCTCAGATCCCTCTGCACCCTTCTAAGGTCCTCTTGCCTAGAAATAAGAGTCTCGGAGATTCAGAAAGGGGTTGGAAACAGAATTGGAAGCTTTTCTTTCTTTCTTTTTTTCGAGATGGGGTCTCACTCTGTGGCCCAGGCTGGAGTGCAGTGGTGCGATCATAGCTCACTGCAGCCTTGAACACCTGTGCTCAAGTGATCCTCCCACCTCAGTCTCCCAAGTAGCTGGAACTACAGGTGCATGCCACCACACCAGGCTAATTCTATTTTAGTTTATTTTTTTTTTAGAGATGGGGTCTCGCTATGTGGCCCAGGCTAGTGTTGAACTCCTGGCCTTGAGCAATCCTCCTGCCTCAACTTCCCAAAGTGTTAGGATTACAAGCATGAGCCATTGCACCTAGCCTTCCAAACTTTTCTTTTTCATTTCTCCCCAATGAAAGCTCACAAGCAGATCCTTCCAATTTGCAAAGTGGTGGAGAGCAGAATGTTATGCATGTCAATGGTCAGGTTCAAATGGATAACTTGAACTTGTGATGGGATGTGTTATGACATTGACATGCTTTGCTGCGAGGAAAACCTTCTCATTGGGAGCTGCGGGTGCCAGCAGCTCTTAGCTCTGCCTTAGCTTTGGTTAACTTGGTTATGTGTCTGGCAGCTTTCAAAGCAGAAGGAGGTGGCTGTGTTCCCAGGCGGCAGGGGGTCTGAACTGCAGAGGTGATCCTCCTGTCTCAGCCTCCCCAGTCGCTGGGATTAGAGGCATGAGCCACTGTGCCCAGCTCCAGTTTATCCATCTTAAAAAGGACTAATGCTGGCTGGGCACAGTGGCTCATGCCTGTAATCCCAGCACTTTGGGAGGCCAAGGTGGGCAGATCACAAGGTCAAGAGATCAAGACCATCCTGGTCAACATGGTGAAAACACAAAACTTAACTGAGCATGGTGGTGTGCTCCTGTAGTCTCAGCTGCTTGAGAGTCTGAGTCAGGAGAATCACTTGAACCCGGGAGGTGGAGGTTGCAGTGAGCGGAGATCACGTCACTGCACTCCAGCCTGGTGACAGAGCAAGACTCTGTCTCAAAAAAAGAAAAGGGGGCCAATGCTATCAGGTGCCCATCTCCAGAGGTTGTCATGATATAATATAGACAGAAAGGGATTGGGATGGGAGCATGCTTCGCCCTTCAGGGTCACACAGGGTCACACCTTAGGGTGCTGGTGGTCTCCACTGAAATGCGTGTCCTGTTGGAGGGTGCCTTTCATTTCTTTAAAAAATATTTCTGGCCTGGTGTCGTGTCTTATGCCTGTAATCCCAACTTTGGGAGGCCAAGGCGGGTGGATCACCTGAAGTCAGGAGTTCGAGACCAGCCTGGCCAACATGGTGAAACCTCCGTCTCTACTAAAAATACAAAAATTAGCTGGGTGTGGTGGCGGGTGCCTGTAATCCCAGCTACTTGGGAGGCTGAGGCAGGAGAATCGCTGGAACCAGGAGATGGAGTTTGCAGTGATCATGCCACTGCACTCCAGCCTGGGTGGCAGAGCGAGATTCTGTCTCAAAAAAATAATACATAAATAAATAAAAAATATTTCAAAGGCATCCTTCCCTTCCTGACATGTGCTGCTTTTATTATGACATTTTCCAAACATGCAGAAAAGTTGAGTGAATTAGACAACAAACACCCACATGCCTGCCACCTACTTCCCAAAGTTCTATTTGCAAAACAAACAAAAAAAAACCAAAAAAAAAAAAACCAAAAAACAAACAAACAAAAAAACCTCTTTTTTTTTTTTTTTTCTTTTTTTGAGATAAGGTCTCACTTTGTCACTCAGGCTGGAGTGCAGTGGTGTGATCTCAGCTCACTGCAGTCTCGACCTCCTGGGCTCAAGCGATCCTCCTGCCTCAGCCTCCTGAGTAACTGGGACCATAGAACACACCATCATACCTCGCTAATTTTTTTTTTTTTTTTGTATTTGTAGAGATGGGATTTCACTGTGTTGCCCAGGCTGGTCTCGAACTCCTGGGCTCAATGGATCCACCCGCCTTAACCTCACGAAGTGCTGGGATTACAGACATACACCACTGCACCTAGCAAAATAAACCTTTTTTTAAAAAAATAGCATTTCAATTATGAGTATGTGAACTGCCTGGCAGGTTGAACCCCAGGTCCCTATCAGCTTCAGGAAGTCAGAGGTGACACATTTGAGTCAAAGGAACTGGGTTTAAATTTCTTATTAACAAATCCAAGTCAGCCCAGGCTAGAGTGAGTCTTCTTTTCAATCCAGTTGCTCCCAGTAATTAGTACAATGATGAGGACATAATAAAAAGAGTCACTGCATAGCTGGGCATGGTGGTGCGTGCCTCTAGTCTCAGCTACTCAAGAGGCTGAGGTGGGAGGATCGCTTGAGCCTGGGAGTTTGAGGCTGTGGTGAGCTATGATTGTACCACTGCACCTCAGTCTGAACCACAGAGTGAGGCCCTGTCTCTACTAATACTAATACTAATACTAATACTAATACTAATACTAATAACTAATAAATGAGATCATTGCATCCCACAGTTGGTCCTTGGTTGGGGTCAGGTACTGTGCCAACTGATTTCCTTCCTTCCTTCCTCCCTTCTTCCCTTCCCTTCTGTTCACCTTCCCCTTCTCCTTCCTTTCTTCTTTTCTTTTTAATTTTCTTTTTTTTTTTTTGAGACGGAGTCTCGCTCTGTCGCCCAGGCTGGAGTGCAGTGGCGCAATCTCGGCTCACTGCAAGCTCCGCCTCCCGGGTTCACGCCATTCTCCTGCCTCAGCCTCCTGAATAGCTGGGACTACAGGCGCCCGCCACTGCGCCCGGCTAATTTTTTCTATTTTTAGTAGAGACGGGGTTTCACCATGGTCTCGATCTCCTGACCTTGTGATCCGCCCGCCTCGGCCTCCCAAAGTGCTGGGATTACAGGCGTGAGCCACCGCGCCCAGCCTTCTTTTTAATTTTCTTTTGAGACGGAGTCTTGCTCTATTTAGCCCAGGCTAGAATGCAGTGCTGTGATCTTGGCTCACTGCAACCTCAGCCTCCTCGGTTCCAGTGATTCTGCTGCCTCAGCCTTCTGAGTAGCTGGGATTACAGGTGCCTGCCACCACACCTGGCTAATTCTTATATTTTTAGCGGAGATGGAGTTTCACCGTGTTAGCCAGGCTGGTCTTGAACTCCTGACCTCAAGTGATCCTCCCACCTTGACCTCCCAAAGTGCTGGGATTACAGACATGTGCCACCGCATCTGGTCCTGATTTTTCTAATTGAGATGAAATTCATGTAACATAAAACTCACCATTTAAAATTCAGTGGCATTTATTATATTCACAGTGCTGTGCAACCACCACTCCTACCTAATTCCAGAACATTTTCATCCCCCAAAAAGAAACCCAGTCCCTAGTAGCAATCACTTCCCATTTCCCCTCCCTGAGCCCCTGGCAGTCACCAGTCAATCTGCTTTCTGTCTCTGTGGATTTGCCTGTTCTGGGTGTTTCATCTCAATGGAATCATACAACATGCAACCTTTTGTGTTTGGGCCATCTGATTTGGTTCCACAGATCAAATGTGCTGTTCTCTCTTCTTCTCCACCCTGGATGGTCACTGGGTCCCATGTTCTCCCCAGCCTGTGCCACCAAACCTAGAGTAAAAGAATGATGCCCCCATGGTGGCAGGCACCTGTAGTCCCAGCTACTCGGGAGGCTGAGGCAGGAGAATGGCGTGCACCTGGGAGGCGGAGCTTGCAGTGAGCCAAGATTGTGCCAGTGCACTCCAGCCTGGGCAACAGAGCGAGACTCCATCTCAAAAAACAAACAAAACAAAACCAAAAAAACAAAAAAAGAATGATACCCCCAAAGCTGCCAAAAAGTGATATTGGGACAATGGCCACAGGGTGATTCATTCCCTTATGCTTCTGGGGGCTGTCAGCATCCACTTCCCCACCAATGGTTTGGGTGTTGTCTGTTGCCTAGGAAACGGGACTAGTGGTGATGACCAACCGAGTGAGCCTGAACCACCGGCAGGATGGTGGCCTCTACACTGATGAGGCTGTCCCCGCTTTCCAGCCCCACACAGGGAGCCTGGTGGCAGCAGCTCCTTCCAGGAACCCCCCCAGGTAATGGCTTATACATTGAGCAAGGTTTTCTAACCCTGATGCTATTGAGTTTTGGGGCTTGTCTTAGTCCTTCCTGGCTGCTGTAACAGAAGACCATAGACTGGGTGGCTTATAAACAACTGAAATTTATTTCACATGGTTCTTGGGGCTGGGAAGTCCAAGAACGGGGCACCAGCATATTCGGTGTCTGGTGAGGGCTCACTTCCCACTTCACTGATGGTGGCTTCCACCTTCTTGCTGTATCCTCATATGGCAGAAGGAGTGAGAGAGCCTTTTTTTTTTTTGAGATGGATTCTCACTCACTCTGTCCCCCAGTACCGTGCTGTTTTGGTTACTGTAGCCTTGTAGTATAGTTTGAAGTCAGGTAGCATGATGCCTCCTGCTTTGTTTTTTGTTTTTTGTTTTTTTTTTTTGGCTTCGGATTGTCTTGGCAATGCCGGCTCTTTTTTGGTTCCATATGAACTTTAAAGTAGTTTTTTCCAATTCTGTGCAAAAAGTCATTAGTAGCTTGATGGGGATGGTGTTGAATCTATAAATTACCTTGGGAAGTGTGGTCATTTTCATTATATTGATTCCTCCTATCCATGAGCATGGAATGTTCTTTCATTTGTTTGTGTCCTGTTTTATTTCGTTGAGCAGTGGTTTGTAGTTCTCCTTCAAGAGGTCCTTCACATCCCTTGTAAGTTGGATTCCTAGGTATTTTACTCTCTTTGTGGCAATTGTGAATGGGAGTTCACTCATGATTTGGCTCTCTGTTTGTCTGTTAATTGGTGTATAGGAACACTTGTGATTTTTGCACATTGATTTTGTATCCTGAGACTTTGCTGAAGTTGCTTATCAGCTTAAGGAGGTTTTAGGCTGAGACAACGGGGTTTTCTAAATATACAATTATGTCATCTGCAAACAGGGATAATTTGACTTCCTCTTTTCCTAACTGAATACCCTTTATTTCTTTATCTTGCCTGATTGCCCTGGCCAAAACTTCCAACACTATGTTGAATAGGAGTGGTCAGACAGGGCATCCTTGTCTTGTGCCAGTTTTCAGAGGGAATGCTTCCAGTTTTTGCCCATTCAATATGATATTGGCTGTGGGTTTGTCATAAATAGCCCTTATTATTTTGAGATATGTTCCATCAATACCTAATTTATTGAGAGTTTTTAGCATGAAGGCTATTGAATTTTGTCGAAGACCTTTTCTGCATCTATTGAGATAATCATGTGGTTTTTGTCAATCATTCTGTTTATGTAATGGATTTCATTTATTGATTTGTGTACGTTGAACCAGCCTTGCATCCCAGAGATGAAGCCGACTTGATCGTGGTGGATAAGCTTTTTGATGTGCTGCTGGATTTGGTTTGCCAGTATTTTATTGAGGATTTTTGCATCGATGTTCATCAAGGATATTGGTCTAAAATTCTCTTTTTTTGTTGTGTCTCTGCCAGGCTTTGGTATCAGGATGATGCTGCCCTCATAAATGAGTTAGGGAGGATTCCCTCTTTTTCTATCGATTGAAACAGTTTCAGAAGGAATAGTACCAGTCCTCTTTGTACTTCTGGTGGAATTTGGCTGTGAATCCATCTGGTTCTGGACTTTTTTTGGTTGGTAGGCTATTAATTATTGCCTCAATTTCAGAACCTGTTATTAGTCTATTCAGAGATTCAACTTCTTCCTGGTTTAGTCTTGGGAGGGTGTATGTGTCCAGGAATTTATCCATTTCTTCTAGATTATTCTAGAATAAACGTCTAGTTTATTCACGTAGAGGTGTTTATAGTATTCTCTGATGGTAATTTGTATTACTGTGGGATCAGTGGTGATATCCCCTTTATCATTTTTTATTGCGTTTATTTGATTCTTCTCTCTTTTCTTCTTTATTAGTCTTGCTAGCGGTCTATCAATTTTGTTGATCTTTTCAAAAAACCAGCTCCTGGATTCATTGATTTTTTGAAGGGTTTTTGTGTCTCTATCTCTTTCAGTTCTGCTCTGATCTTAGTTATTTCTTGCCTTCTGCTAGCTTTTGAATTTGTTGCTCTTGCTTCTCTAGTTCTTTTAAGTTTGATGTTAGGGTGTCAATTTTAGATCTTTCCTCCTTTCTTTTGTGGGCATTTAGTGCTATAAATTTCTCTGTACACACTGCTTTCAATGTGTCCCAGAGATTCTGGTATGTTGTGTCTTTGTTCTCATTGGTTTCAAAAAATATCTTTATTTCTGCCTTAATTCCGTTATCTTTCCAGTAGTCATTCAGGAGCAGGTTGTTCAGTTTCCATGTAGTTGTGTGGTTTTGAGTGAGTTTCTTAATCCTGAGTTCTAATTTGATTGCACTGTGGTCTGAGAGAGAGTTTGTTGTGATTTCTGTTCTTTCACATTTGCTGAGGAGTGCTTTACTTCCAATTACGTGGCCAATTTTAGAATAAGTGCAATGTGGTGCTGAGAAGAATGTATATTCTGTTGATTTGGGTTGGAGAGTTCTGTAGATGTCTCTTAGGTCTGCTTGGTGCAGAGCTAAGTCTGGATATCCTTGTTAACCTTCTGTCTCTTTGATCTGTCTAATATTGACAGTGGAGTGTTACAGTCTCCCATTATTATTGTGTGGGAGTCTAAGTCTCTTCGTAGGCCTCTAAGGACTTGCTTTATGAATATGAGTGCTCCTGTATTGGGTGCATATATATTTAGGATAGTTAGCTCTTCTTGTTGAATTGATCCCTTTACCATTATGTAATGGCCTTCTTTGTCTCTTTTGATCTTTGTTGGTTTAAAGTCTGTTTTATCAGAAACTAGGATTGCAACCCCTGCCTTTTTTTTGCTTTCCATTTGCTTGGTAGATCTTCCTCCATCCCTTTATTTTGAGTCTATACTCTGCATGTGAGATGGGTCTCCTGAATACAGCACGTTGATAGGTCTTGACTCTTTATCCAATTTGCCAGTCTGTGTCTTTTAATTGGGGCATTTAACCCATTTACATTTAAGGTTAATATTGTTATATGTGAATTTGATCCTGTCATTATGATGTTAGCTGGTTATTTTGCCCATTAATTGATGCAGTTTCTTCCTAGCATCAATGGTCTTTACAATCTGGCATGTTTTTGCAGTGGCTGGTACCGGTTGTTTCTTTCCATGTTTAGTCCTTCCTTCAGGAGCTCTTGAAAGGCAGGCCTGGTGGTGACAAAATATCTCAGCATTTGCTTATCTATAAAGGAGTTTATTTCTCCTTCACTTACGAAGCTTAATTTGGCTGGATATGAAATTCTGGGTTGAGAATTTTTTTCTTTAAGAATGTTGAATATTGGCCCCTACTCTCTTCTGGCTTGTAGGGTTTCTGCCAAGAGATCTGCTGTTAGTCTGATGGGCTTCCCTTTGTGGTTAACCCGACCTTTCTCTCTGGCTGCTCTTAACATTTTTTCCTTCATTTCAACGTTGGTGAATCTGACAATTACGTGTCTTGGGGTTGCTCTTCTCGAGGAGTGTCTTTGTGGTGGTCTCTGTATTTCCTGAATTTGAATGTTGGCCTGCTTTGCTAGGTTGGGGAAGTTCTCCTGGATAATATCCGAAGAGTGTTTTCCAACTTGGTTCCATTCTCCCCATGACTTTTAGGTACACCTATCAAACGTAGATTTGGTCTTTTCACATAGTCCCATATTTCTTGAAGGCTTTGTTCATTTCTTTTTACTCTTTTTTCTCTAACTGTGTCTTTTTGCTTTATTTCATTAATTTGATCTTCAATCACTGATACCCTTTCTTCCACTTGATCGAATTGGCTGTTGAAGCTTGTGCCTGCATCACAAAGTTCTTGTGCCATGGGTTTCAGCTCCATCAGGTCATTTAAGGTCTTCTCTACACTGTTTATTCTAGTTAGCCATTCGTCTAACATTTTTTCAAGGTTTTTAAACTTCTTTGCAATGGGTTTGAACATGCTCCTTTAGGTCAGAGAAGTTTCTTATTACCGACCTTCTGAAGCCTACTTCTGTCAATTCGTCAAAGTCATTCTCCATCCAGCTTTGTTGCATTGCTGGCAAGAAGCTGTGATCCTTTGGAGGAGAAGAGGCACTCAGGTTTTTAGAATTATCAGCTTTTCTGTTCTGGTTTCTCCCCATCTTTGTTGTTTTATCTACCTTTGGTCTTTGATGTTGGTGACCTACAGATGGGGTTTTGGTGTAGATGTCCTTTTTGTTGATATTGATGCTATTCCTTTCTGTTTGTTAGTTTTCCTACTAACAGTCAGGTCCCTCAGCTGCAGGTCTGTTGGAGTTTGGTGGAGGTCCACTCCAGATCCTATTTGCCTGTGTATCACAGTGGAGGCTGCAGAACAGCAAATATTGCAGAACAGCAAATATTGCAGAACAGCACATATTGCTACCTGATCCTTCCTCTGGAAGCTTCGTCCCAGAGGGGCACCTGCCTGTATGAGGTGTCTGTCAGCCCCTACTGGGAGGTGTCTCCCAGTTAGGCTACATGAGGGTCAGGGACACACTTGAGGAGGCAGTCTGTCCATTCTCAGAGCTCAAATGATATACATGCAGCCAACAAGCATGTGAAAAAGTGCTCAATGTCACTGAACACTAGAGAAATGCAAATCAGGCCAGGCATGGTGGCCCACGCCTGTAATCCCAGCACTTTGGGAGGCCAAGGTGGGTGGATCACCTGATGTTGGGAGTTTGAGACCAGCCTGGTCAACATGATGAAACCTCATTTCTATTAAAACTACAAAAATTAGCCAGGTGTGGAGGCACACCTGCAATTCCAGGTGTAATTCAGGAGGCTGAGGCATGAAAATCACTTGAACCTGGGAGGTGGAGGTTGCAGTGAGCAGAGATTGCATCACTACACTCCAACCTGGGCAACAGAGTGAGACTCTGTCTCAAAAAAAAGGGAAATGCAAATCAAAACCACAATAAGATGCCATCTCATGCTAGTCAGAATGGTCATTAATAAAAAGTCAACAAATAAGCTGGGTGTGGTGGCTCATGCCTATAATCCAGAATTTTGTGAGGCCAAGGCGGGTGGATCACCTAAGGTCAGGAGTTCAAGACCAGCCTGACCAACGTGGTGAAACCCCATCTCTACTAAAAATACAAAGTTAGCTGGTTGTAGTGGCAGGTGCCTCTAATCCTAGCTACTTGGGAGGCTGAGGCTGGAGAATCATTTGAACCTGGGAGGCAGAGGTTGCAGTGAGCTGAGATCGTGCCATTGCACTCCAGCCTGGGTGACAAGAAGGAAACTCCATCTCAAAAACAAAGTAAAAAAATAACAGAAGTTGGTGAGGTTGTGGAGAAAAGGGGATGCTTATGCACAGTTGATGGGAGTGTAAATTAGTTCAACCATTGTGGAAAGCAGTGTGGCAATTCCTCAAATAGCTAAAAACAGAACTACCATTTGACCCAGCAATCCCATTACTGGGTATATGCTCAAAAGAATATAAATCATTCTGCCATAAAGACATATGCACACAAATGTTCATTGCAGCACTATTTACAATAGCAAAGACCTGGAATCCACCTAAATGCTCATCAATGACAGATTGGATAAACAAAATGTGGTACATAAATACCATGGAATACTATGCAGCCATTAAAAAGAACAAGATCATGTCTTTTGTGGAAACACAGATGGAGCTGGAGGCCATTATCCTTAGCAAACTAATGCAAGAACGGAAAACCAAATACTGCATGTTCTCACTTATAAGTGGGAGCTAAATGATGAGAAAACATGGACACAAAGAGGGGAAGAGATGGGTCTACTTGAGGGTGGGGGATGGGAAGACAACGAGGATCAGAAATCATAACTATTGGGCACTAGGGTTAGTACCTGGGTGATGAAATAATCTGTACAACAAACCCCATGACACACGTTTACCTATATAATGGACCTGCACATGTACTTCTGAACCTAAAATAAAGTTTTTAAAAAACAAGTTATGTCCTAATCAAGTAGACTGTTAACCCTGCTAGGTAAGAGAATTAATGTGTTATATCCCAATCAAGTACCATGTTAACCCTTCCAGGAAAAAGAAATTAACGCATTATATCTGATCAAATAGAATGCGAAGCTGCTAGATTCGTAAAAGATTTGTTACGTTCATGAAACCTTAATCGTTTCTTTTTTTCTTTTCGTAGAACAGAGAAGAGAAAAAGGACTTTCTTCCCTGAAACATGGATTTGGTATTGTCTCAACATCAGGTACAGTAAGATTTCTTTTCTGTGCTGACTTTGCCGGTTGACTGAAAGGCACTCAGGCGGGCCCAGAGAGCCCCTGGTGGGACGGGCAGGCCTGATACCAACATCTGAGTAAGACACTGTGCATCTTTTTCTAACACATAAAACTTCAAGCCATAAAACCAGCCTTGAGTCCCGCTGCACATTTGGACGTTTGCCTGTGAAATATGAAATGCAAGGGCTTTGTGCCTCTCGCAGCTCCCTCTTGGGGTAACTCTATCTGCTCTGTTTGTATAACGAGCTCATTAAAATTATTACAGTTCCCTGGAACATGAACTTGACTCCACCTACCCCCACTCCTTGCTCCTCGGGGGACTACAGCTCTTGCTCAAAAAAGAGGATGCCTTTCTCAACACATTTCCTTTTTGCATTTTTTCCCCCCTGTTTAGTTCTCTTTGAAGCAGGATTGCAGGCACCCCTTTTCTGCTGGATGCAATTGACTTTTTTTTCTTTCAATGCTCAGCGTTAGAGCACCAATGACACTAGTAAAAAGTGGCAGTGGCATGCCCTGGCAAACCAGTTTGGCATGAAAACTGACTCTTGGTCCAGCCCGGGCCAACAGGTGGGCTGACTGCTGGAGCCATGCCCTTCTTCCAGGCACAAGGTGCTGTGGCAAGGGCTTGATAGAGCCAGGCACGCAGCTAGGGGCCCCTCAGGCTGCTTTGGGGGATGTGTATGTCCTCATCCTGGGAAGGTCTGACTGCTGATCGGAACACATTCAGGTCACTGTGTTTTGCTCTGGGGGCCCAGCTGTAAGACAGCTTATCTGTCCATCATCATTCAAATGTATGTAATTTCTGGATGTCTGGTGAGCTTTTCTTCTTGTTAAAAAATTTTTCAATTTATTTTTATTAGGGCTGGGCACAGTGGCTCACGCCTGTAATCCCAGCACTTTGGGAGGCTGAGGCGGGCGGATCTCGAGGTCAGGAGATCTAGACCATCCTGACCAACACGGTGAAACCCTGTCTCTATTAAAAATACAAAAACTTACCCAGGCGTGGTGGCGGGCGCCTGTAGTCCCAGCTACTCGGGAGGCTGAGGCAGGAGAATGGCGTGAACCCGGGAGGCGGAGCTTGCAGTGAGCTGAGATCCGGCCACTGCACTCCAGCCTGGGTGACAGAGCGAGACTCCGTCTAAAAAAAAAAAAAAAAAAAATTCATAGAGATGGGGTCTCTGTATGTTGCCCAGGCTGGTCTGAAACACCTGTCCTCAAGTGATCTTCCTGTCTTGGCCTTTCAATGTGCTAGAATTACAGGTGTGAGCCACTGCTCCTGGCCCGGATGTTTTTGATGTTAAGGATGGTCCCTTGAATAAGGCAGACAGAGTCCCAGCACTCATAACATTTTCATTGTAGCTAGAGTAGACAGGTGCCCAAAGAGTTATCATGGTACAGTAGGGTTAGTCTTCTCTTGGAAGCCTGGGCACGGAGCTTGGGAGGCAGAGAAAGATGGTGGAATCCTTTGGAAAAGCCAGAGAGGGTCCCCAGTGTGGGGCCCAAGCTGAATCCCACCATATGAATAAGCAAGAAAGGGAAGGGTGTCCGGGAAGAAGCGCCAGCATGAGCAAGTGCTGCAAAGTAGGAGAGGCTGGTGGATTTCCACATGGTTGAAATGAGATGGAAGGAGCTGAGGAGGATGCAGGGAGTATGAGACCATGTGGGCTGTGCTGGGGTGAGGTTAAGGGTGCAGGTGTGGAGAGCCAGGGATGGAGCCAGGGATTTGGGATTTAGGGTTTGGGAAGTTCTCTCTCCTCTCTTGTTGGCTGAGGCAAGGATGAATTAGAGGAGACAGATCTGAGACCAAGGAGGAGGTTCCTGCTGGACCCAAAAGAGGACTGGTCAACTCTCTTTTAAGCCACACCCATTTAAAGGTGGGATGTGGTGGCTTATGCCTGTAATCCCAGCACTTTGGGAGGCCGAGGTGGGAGGATTGCTTGAGCCCAGGAGTTCAAGACCACCCTGGGCAACATAGCAAGGCCCCATCTTTAAACAAATTTTTAAATTAGCCAGGTGTGGTGGCACACGCCTGTGGTCCCAGCTACTTGGGAAGCTGAAGTGAGAGGATTGCTTGAGCCCTGGAGATTGAGGCTGCAGTGACACAAAATCGTACCACTGCACTCCAGCCTGGGCGACAGACTGAGACCCTGTCTCAAAAAGGGAAAATGATGAAAAAATGAATTGGTTTAAAAAATTATGGTGAAATACTCAACATAAAATTTACGATCTTAACCATTTTTAAGTGTATAGTTCAGTGGTATTAAGGACACTCAGGTTATCGTGCAAACATCACCACCACCCATTTCTGTGACTCCTTTCTTCTTACAAAACTGACACTCTGTCCCCACTAAACACTTACTCCCCTCTTCTCCCTTCCCCGAATCCTTGGCGACAACCCTTTCTGTCTCTGACTTTGACTATTCTAGGGACCTCCTATAAGTGGAATCTTGTAGTATTTGTCATTTGGTGACTGGCTTATTTCAATGAACATAATGTCCCCAAGGTTCATCTGTGTTGGAGAATCCATGTCAGAATTTCCTTCCCTTTTTTTTTTTTTTTTTTTTTTTTTGAGATGGAGTCTCGCTCTGTCACCAGGTTGGAGTGCAGTAGCACAATCTTGGCTCACTGCAACTTCTGCCTCCAGGGTTCGAGTGATTCCCCTACCTCAGCCTCCCAAGTAGCTGGGACTCCAGGCACGCACTACCATGCCTGGCAAATTTTTTATTTTTTTTTTGGTGAGATAGAGTCTTGCTCTGTTGCCCAGGCTGGAGTGTGGTGGTATGATCTTGGCTTACTGTAAGCTCTGCTTCCTGGGTTCACGCCATTTTCCTGCCCCAGCCTCCTGAGTAGCTGGGACTACAGCCGCCCGCCACCACGCCTGGCTAATTTTTTGTATTTTTAGTAGAGATGGGGTTTCACCATGTTGGTCAGGATGGTCCAGATCTCCTGACCTCATGATCTGCCTGCCTCGGCCTCCCAAAGTGCTGGGATTACAGACATGAGCCACCTCGCCTGGCCTCTATGTTCAAATTTTTAAGGAACCTCCAGACTAATTTGTACAGCAGCTGCAGCGTTTTACGTTTCTACTAACAGTGTACCAGGTTCCAATCTTACCACATCCTCACAAGCACTTGCTATGCTATTTTCTTTTTCATTTCTTCTTTCTCCTTCCTTCCTCCCTTCCTCCCTCCCTCCCTCCCTCTCTCTCTCTCTCTCTCTTTTCCTTCCTTCCTTCCTTCCTTCCTTCCTTCCTTCCTTCCTTCCTTCCTTCCTTCCTTCCTTCCTTCCTTCCTTCTTTCTTTCTTTTCTCTTTCTTTTCTTTCTTTCTTTCTTTCTTTCTTTCTTTCTTTTTCTTTCTTTTTCTTTCTTTCTCTTTCTTTTCTTTCTTTCTTTCTTTCTTTCTTTCTTTCTTTCTTTCTTTCTTTCTTTCTTTCTTTCTTTCTTTCTTTCTTTCTCTTTCTTGAGACAGAGTTTCACTCTGTTACCTAGGCTGGAGTGCAGTGGTGCAATCTCAGCTCACTACACCCTCCGTCTCCCAGGTTCACACAATTCTCCTGCCTCAGCCTCCCAAATAGCTGGGACTATAGACATGCGCCACCACACCTGGCTAATTTTCGTATTTTTAGTAGACACGGGGTTTCACCATGTTGGCCAGACTGGTCTCAAACTCCTGACCTCAAGTGACCCACCCACTTCAGCTTCCCAAAGTTCTGGGATTACAGGCGTGAGCCACCGTGCCCAGCCTATTTTCTTTCCTTTTCTTTTTTAATATCCTAATTAAATACATGAAGTGTATCTCATTGTAGTTTTTATTTGCATTTCCCTAATGATTAGTGATGTTGACCATCTTTCATGTATTTATCAGTCATTTGTCTATCTTCTTTGGATAAATGTCTATTCAAGTAATTTGCCCATTTTTGAATCGTGTTGCTGTTTTTGTTATTGAGTTTCAGGAGTTCTCTATATATTCTGGGTATTATTTCATTATCAGATATATGACTTCCAAATATTTTCTCTCATTGGGTTGACTTTTTACTCTGTTGATAGTGCCTTTTTTTTTTTGAGACAGGGTCTCACTCTGTCACCCAGGTGTTCAAGTGATCCCCCAACCTCAGCCTCCCAAGAAGCTGGGTCTACAGGTGCACACCACTACTCCTGGCTAAATTTTTAAATTTTTTGTAGACATAGGGTCTTGCTGTGTTGTCCAGGCTGGTCTCAAACTCCTGGGCTTAAGTGATCCTCCTTCCTCGGCCTCCTGAAGTGCTGGGATTACAGGGGTAAGCTACCATGCCAGCCCTTGGTAGTGTCTTCTGATGCTCAAAATTTTGCAGTTTTCATGAAGTCCAACTTGTCTACTCTTTTTTTGTTGCCTGTGCCTTTGTTTTCATGTTCATGAAATCATCATCAAACCCAATGTCATGAAGCTTTTGCCCCATTTTCTTCTAAGAGTTTTATAGTTTTACTTTTTACTTTTAGGCCATGGATTCATTTTGAGTTAATTTTTGTATATGGTGTTAGGTAAGGTCCAAATTCATTCTTTCACCTATGGATGTTTGCTGTTTCTAGCAGTATTTGTTAAAAAGATTGTCTTTTCCCTAAAGTATCTTGATGCCCTTGTTGAAAATCATTTGACTATGTTGTCAGGGTTTATTCCTGGGCTCTCTATTTGAATCCATTAGTCTGTATGTCTGTCCTTATGCCAGTAACACATTGATTTGATTATGGTAGCTTTGTGGTAAGTTTTGAAGTGTGAGCTCTCCAGCTTTATTCTTCTGGTTTCTTTCTTTGGCCACCAGAGTCCCTTGAGATCCATGTAAAATCTCAAGGTGGAGTTTTCTATTTCTGTAAAATAAAATAAAATTTAAAAGTCATTGGGGTTTATGACTGGGATTCCACTGAATCTATAGATCACTTTGGGTAGTTTTGACTTTTTTTTTTTCTTTTTTTCTTTTTTGAGACAGAGTCTTACTCATCACCCAGGCTGGAGTACAGTGGCGCGATCTTGGCTCACTGCAGGCTCCACCCCTGGGTTCACAACATTCTCCTGCCTCAGCCTCCCGAGTAGCTGGGACTATAGGCGCCTGCCACCACGCCCAGCTCATTTTTTGTATTTTTAGTACAGACAGGGTTTCACCATGTTAGCCAGGATGGTCTTGATCTCCTGACCTCGTGATCCGCCTGCCTTGGCCTCCCAAAGTGCTGGAATTACAGGCGTGAGCCACTGCGCCTGGCCAGTTTTGACATTTTAACAAGTCTTCCGATCCATGAACATGGGATATGTTTTCATTTACTTATATCTTTTTTGTCTTTTTTAGTTTCTTTCAATAATCTTTGTGTGTGTGTGTGACTGGGATCTCACTCTGTTGCCGAGGCTGGACTGCAGTGGTGAGATCACAGCTCACAGCACCCTCGACCACCTGGGCTCAAGTGAATCCCCCACCTCAGCCTCCTGAGTGGCTGGGACTACAGGCATATGTCACTACACCCCCCTAATTGTTAAATTTTTTGTAGAGACAAGGTCTCATCATGTTGCCCAGAATGGTCTGGAACTCCTGGGCTCAGGCAGTCTCCCACCTCAGCCTCCCAGAGTGCTGGAAGTACAGGCATGAGCCACTGTGCCCAGCCCAAGTTTTCTATTCGAGTCAGGGCTGAGGGACAGTTTTTTCCTGTTGCCACTTTTGTGATGCCTTCAGTACTTGTTTCTAAGCTCCCGGGGTGCGTCTCTGAGCCATGGAACCTGGGTCATCCATGCCCACCTGCCCCCCCCAGGCATGGCCCTGGAGAAGGGCCCCCCATCATGGCTGTCTGTCTCTCCACAGTGACCCATCTGGTGAGGAGACACTCAGCGTGAAGGTCCCGGACTCCATCACTAGCTGGGTGGGTGAGGCCACGGCCCTGTCCACCTCTCAGGGCTTAGGCATCGCCGAGCCCTCCCTGCTGAAGACCTTCAAGCCCTTCTTTGTGGACTTCACGCTCCCCCGTCTCATCATCCGTGGGGAGCAAGTCAAGATCCCGCTCAGTGTCTACAACTACATGGGCATCTGTGCTGAGGTACTCAGCCCCCCAAATACATAGCCTTCTTCCATTCAATGGGGAGTTGGGACTGCATTGGTGCTATAAGGGAGGCAGGGGTGGGACAGTGTTGGCTTGAGGGATTTAGGAGGGCGAGAGTCTCTGTAATGTTAGGGAGGTGGGGATGTGTGGGCTCAGCCTGGGGGGTTTTGGTGGGGGGATGCGTCATCTGTGCTATCGGGGAGGCAGGAGTGGGATGAGATCAGCCTCTGATTCACCAACCATCGAAGCCAGGTGGGGAGGAGGTGGGGACGCATGTGTGTGAGTGAGAGGGACTTGGTGCAAATGGAGCCGTTGCCCCTGATCCTAGCAGGGGCGTGCCTGGACTGGTATGATATATGACAGCATGGAGCTTTCTCTGTAAAGGGCCAGATAGGAAATATTTCAGTCTTTGCTGACTGTACAATCCCTGTGGCAGCGAATCAACTCAGCCCTTGTAGCGTAAAAGCAACCTAGATGATCTCTTCTAGGGCACCTCTGTACCCATAGGCACACACATGCATGCAGAAACTAGCATACCCATACACACACACGAATGCATAGCCACATGCCTTCACCTGGTAGATGCACATGTGTGTACATGCATGCATGCACATGTGTGTGCAATCTGTGCTTGCATACATACACACAAGTGTACACCCAGGGACACATGCATTCACAGCACACACATGCACATGAATACACACACACATGCACATACAGAGCTGTACTCTGACATCATGGAGCTGCACAGTTGGAGAGAGGGTCAGGAGAGGCCCTCTGTGGACCTGCTGTGGAAGAGGTTGCATCCATCTGGAGTCCCAGAGTGGATAGACATGCAGGAGAGGCAGCCCTGGCTGGAACTGGCAGCTTCAGTCCGAGGGAGATCTGGACCTGTGGGGATATGGAGGGCTGTGGGGAGGAGAGGGCACCCAGCAAGACAGATGGGCATGAGCAGGCCAAGTGGGGCAGCAGACAGCAGAGGGTAGTTTATTCTGATGGGAAATGGAAAGGGGACCTTCCCGGAGGGAGCATGGCTCTTGGAGAGGCTGGTAAGTCTGGTGTGTGCAGTGAGTGGTGGGATGTGTGTTGGGCCTCAAGGCACTGGGAGGGGGCCTGGATTCCAGGCACCATGAGCCAATGCCACCCTCTGCAGGTGTACATGAAGCTCTCGGTTCCCAAGGGCATCCAGTTTTTTGGGCATCCTGGCAAACGCCATCTGACTAAGAAGATGTGTGTGGCCCCTGGGGAGGCTGAGCCGGTTTGGGTCGTTCTGTCCTTCAGTGACCTGGGGCTCAACAACATCACAGGTGAGGACTCCACAGTTCTGAGGGTGTCCCCCTCTCCAGGCCACAAAAGGGTCCTGGCATTGACCCCAGTTGGGGATGAGGGCTGGATGGGGCAGCAGGTAAGGTCAGGACTGTCCCAACGAAAATGGGACAGCAACCGGGGCAAGCAGGACAGAAGGAATGGGCCCAGGAGGAGTGGGGAGGTGGGCCCTGGGGTCTCACCTGTTGGGGGAGCTGGGCTCTTAAGATGCCAACCCAGTGTAGCATACACACATATAGACATGCATACACATACACAAATCCGTCCACACAGACACATGCCCGCATGTGTAGACATGCATACACACACAAATCCACACACTTACATGCCCACATGTGTAGATATGCATACACACACACACAAATCCACACACACACGCCCACATGTGCAGACATGCATACACACACAAATCAACACACACACATGCCCACATGTGTAGATATGCATACACACACACATAAATTCACACACACACACCCACATGGGAAGACATGCATACACACACACGAATCCACATACACAAACGCCCACATATGTAGACATCATACACACATAAATCCTCATATGTACACGCCCACATGTGTAGACATACATACACACACACAAATCCACACACACATGCCTGCATGTGTAGACATGCGCACACACACACAAATCCACACACACATGCCTGCATGTGTAGACATGCACACACACACACAAATCCACACACACATGCCTGCATGTGTAGACATGCACACACACACACAAATCCATACACATAGACATGCCCACATGTGCAGATACGCATTGCACATGCAAACCTGTACAAACACATGCACACATGCACACACACTCACATACAAACTCGTACACACAAACATGGAAAAATGCACACACATGCATATACACACATATACATGTACAAATACATCCATATGCACACACAAATTTGTACACACAAACACACAAATGCACACACATGCATATGCACAACAAACTTGTACATACAAACATACACAAATGTACATACACACACACTACAAACTCATACACACAAATGCCCTCACATGCATATGCACAAACTCTTACACACATGCACAAATGCATGCATACGCACACATGAGCCTGTGCGTTCAAACACATGCATACATGTGCAGACATACACACGTGCGTGCATGCACACATCTGCATATACACACGCACATGCGCACACACACATATGCATGCGCACACACCTGGGACGAGGATAGGGATGGGACAGCCCCCACCCTGGGTGGGGACCTGTTCTGAGACCAAGACATCCAATTTCTGCAGCCAAAGCTCTTGCTTACGGAGACACAAATTGCTGCCGGGATGGGAGGTCCAGCAAACACCCGGAGGAGAATCACGCCGACAGGAGGGTCCCCATCGGGGTGGATCACGTCAGGCGCAGTGTGATGGTTGAGGTAAGGCGATGTCCTCATCTCTGGTGCTTGGCCAGGGCCTCATTTCTTCAGCCAGGAAGCTGGGGCCAGCTGGAGTGTGTGGTCTGAGGCTGAGCCAGGGCCTGGGCAGCCTTCACGGGTTGTGCTTGAGAGCTCGGGGTGCCTGGACTTTGGGGTCCTTCCTCGTTGGAGGATCATGGTGGTCCGATACCTCCCTAAAGCGCAGAGTGGGCTTTGGTGAAGCAACCTGGGGCTCTTGAAGGGCTGCAGCAGGTACCCCCTGACCCCTGGGTGAACTATTTAGGAAGACCGTGTCCCTCATCTCATGCTTGTCATAGGCATTTGTCATTAGTGAGCACCATGACTCAGCATTTGGGGCATTGTCCTTGGATGGCCTATGTAGGAAGGACACAGAGCTGAGGGGGGCAGGGGCAGGCGCCAGGATCTCACAGACCCCCTGGCTGTGAATCCGGGATCAGCCACTTACCCATCATCTTGGGAAGCATCCTGGCTTTCCAGCCCCGCTCTGCAAGACAAGAGGGGCTCACCTTCATAAAACGGGGTAGGAGACCAGAGGCGACACACACAGATGTCTCAGGGCTGGGCATGCAGTAGCCACCATGCCTCATCTTTTCTTGGCTGCTTGGACACATCAGAGCCCTACTGAGGCTCCGTTTGGTGCTGCACCAACAGCAGCCCCTAAAAGCAGCCCCAAGGGTGTCACATTCCCCAGAGGTCCAGCTGCAAACAGCTGCTCTCCCTCCTTGCTGGGATCCTGCTGGCCCTGAACACAAGTGGCTTCTGTTAGCACCAGGAGTCACGTGCCCACTGGGCAAAACTCCGGAGCGGTGACAGTGGACAGGTCACCGCTGTGGTGTCATTGATGCGATGTGATGGATTCCTCGGAGACAAGAGCACTGTCAGGTGGGGACCGAGATCTCTGTGAGCCGGCAGGATGAGATGGTCCTGATGGGGAAATGCAGAGACCCCTGGTCACCCTTTGCCCAGCCAGGGCATCCTCCCTGGGCCACAGCCTGCCCTCCTAAGGTCCAAGAAGGAGGCAGTGAGCCCGTCTGAACTGCAGAACCTGGAGGCCTGGTGTTTCTCAATGCACACAGAGGGACTCTTGAGGGTCTCCTTCCCCAGAGCCTTTCCTCCCATCCACGCCGCAGAATGATCTCTGCACCTGCAGTATCCACTTGTCCAGCTTTCTGCAGGCAGCTCTGGGGAAAGATATAGGCATCAGAAGACTTGAAATGTTGATGCAAAAGATGAAGCTACGATTAGAAAAGCAATTTATGAAACAAGAGGCACCAAGATGTGCGGCTTGATAAAGCAGCAAAATGCTCCTCCTGCCTCCTCCACTGGAGGGCTGTGGGTGCCACCTACTGAGCTGGACTTAGGAGCAAGAAGCTGGATAGGATGCATGGGTCAGTGGGGAAGCATCACCTGTGCACGGCCCATCATGGGTGCTGTACCAGGGTGGGGATGGCTTGACAGGTGCAGGCAGTACGGACACCACCCTGCCTTGCTCCCCTGCTGGCCTGCAAGGGAACTGCCATCCTCTATGTCTGCTGGGAGGCTGAGCACTTTCAGTCATCTCCACGTAAATTTCACTTCAGTGAAATTCCAAGGAGCAAAGAGGAGGCAGGAATAATTCGGGCCTCACTGGAGTGATACGAGGCTTGGCCAGCCAGGGAGTGGGCTCTGGAGTGACAGCCCCAGATTCGAATGGAACCGCTGGATGGTTAAATGAGAGTGTCAGTGGAAAGCCTCTCATGGTGTCTGGCCTGTCTACTAAAGACCCATGTGCTGTTGTCACACAGGCATTTATAACAGTCAGCTGGGAAATCCCATACCAAAGTCAGGGATACACTTCCTATTTTAGGAAACGTCCATCAGTTGATGAATTAGAGAAATGAATGTGGGTCGATGAAATGCAATTCCTTAATGCAATGGAATGTTATTCAACTGTGAAATGGAGTGAAGGGCCAGGTGTGGTGGCTCACACCTGTAATCCTCGGGCTTTGGGAGGCTGAGGCAGGAGGATGGCTTGAAGCCAGGAGTTGGAGGCTGCAGTGAGCTATGATTACGCCACTATACTCCAGCCTGGAAAACAGAGCCAGCCCCTGTCTGAATGAATAAATGAATGAATGAATGAATGAATGAATAAATAAATAAATAAATAAAATGAAGCACTGGTCCTTGCTACAACGTGGCTAAACCTAGAAAAAGTGATACTGAGTGAAAGAAGACAGACACAGGCCAGGCACAGTGGCTCACACCTGTAATCCCAGCACTTTGGGAGGTCAATGTGGGTGGATCATCTAAAGTCAGGAGTTTGAGACCAGCCTGGGCAACATGGCAAAACCCCGTCCCTACTAAAAATGCAAAAATTAGCTGGGCATGGTGGCACACACCTGTAGTCCCAGCTCCTCAGGAGGCTGAGGAGGGAGGATTGCTTGAGTCCAGGAGGTGGGGATTGCAGTGAGCAACAGAGGGATTCTCGAGACACTGCACTCTAGCCTGGGCGACGGAGCCAGACCCTGTCTCAAAAAAAAAAAAAAGTCAAACACAAAAGGCCACATGGTGTACGATTCCATTTATATGAAATGCCCAGAACAGGCAAATCCAGAGAGGCCGAAAGGAATGAAGCACAGATCTGTGCTACAAGGTTGCAGAAAAGCCCAGCCGGAGCTAGTATTCGTGGCATCATGTAAGCTCCATGTTCTGAGATCTGGCCCCGAGCCAGAATGGGCATAGAGGCAAAGGAGATTGGGACCAGGATGGACAAGTGCAGCCGGAGATGGGCTAACACTCAAGGAGCAAACCCAAGCCACGGCAGAGGGGCCGAGTGGAAGAGATGGGCATCACATTGGGGTCCTCTGTGAGCTGAGTCAGCAGAGGTTTCTCGGGACCCAGCAACCATGAGGAGTCCCTGAATTTGTGCCCAGGGCCCCAGCCAATGGTCATCCAGAGGCACAGCACGTGATTGTTATATCAGTTCGTTCTTACCTTGCTATAAAGAAATACCTGAGACTGGGTTATTTATTTATTTATTTATTTATTTATATTATTATTGGTTTTTGAGATGGAGTCTCACTCTGTCACCCAGGCTGGAGTGTACTGGCGCAATCTCAGCTCACTGCAACCTCCACCTCCCAGGTTCAAATGATTCTTCTGCCTCAGCCTCCTGAGTAGTTGGGACTACAGGCGTGCACCACCACACCCAGCTAATTTTTGTATTTTTAGTAGAGACGGGGTTTCACCATGTTGGCCGGGTTGGTCTTGAACTCCTGACCTCAGGTAACCTGCCTGCCTTGGTCTCCCAAAGTGCTGGGATTACAGGCATGAGCCACTGTGCCCGGCCATGACTGGATAATGAGTAAAGAAAAGAGGTTTAATTGGCTCACAGTTCTGTAGGCTGTACAGGAAGCATGCATGGTTGGGGAGGCCTCAGGAAACTTACAATCATGGCAGGAGGTGAAGGGGAAGCAGGTGTGTCTTCCATGGCTAGAGCAGGAGGAGGAGGGAAGGGGGAGGTGCTTCACAGTTTTGTTGCTGTTGTTGTTGTTGTTGTTGCTGTTGTTGTTTTGAGATGGAGTCTCACTCTGTCGCCAGGCTGGAGTGCAGTGGCATGATCTCAGCTCATTGCAACCTCTGCCTGCCTGGTTCAAACGATTCTCCTGCCTCAGCCTCCCGAATAGCTGGGATTACAGGCACCCGCCTCCATGCCCAGATAATTTTTATATTTTTAGTAGAGATGGGGTTTCACTATGTTGGCCAAGATGGTCTCGATCTCTTGACTTCGTGATCTGCTTACCTCGGCCTCCCAAAGTGCTGGGATTACAGTTGTGAGCCACTGTGCCTGGCCGCTTCACAGTTTTAAACAACCAGACCTCATGAGAACTCACTCATTATCACGAGAACAGCAAGGGGGAAATCGCCTCCATGATCAAATCACCTTCCACCAGGCCCCTCTTCCAACCTTGAGGATTACAATTCAACATGAGATTTGGGCGGGGACGCAAATCCAAACCGTATCACTCACCACCAGCAGAATGCATCTGGTTCTCTGTGGATTTGCCTATTGGACATTTTGTATCAGTGGAATCATACAGCATGTAGCCTTTTGCCTCTGGCTTCTCTCACTCAGTACAATGTGTTTAGGGTTCATCCACAGTGCAGCATGGATCCGTGCTTGCTTCTGTTGCTCAATCATATTCCATTGGATGGATGGACCACATTTTCTTTATCCATTCGCCTATGGTGGACATTTGGGTTATGTACAGTTTTTAGGATTATACAGCTGTTAAAAATCTACCGTGAGGTCGGGCACAGTGGCTCATGCCTGTAATCCCAGCACTTTGGGAGGCCAAGGCAGGAGGATCGCCTGAGGCCAGGAGTTTGAGACCAGCCTGGCCAACATGGTGAAACTCCATCTCTACTAAACTATACAAAAAATTAGCCAGGCGTGGTGGTGGGTGCCTGTAATCCCAGCTACTCAGGAGGCTAAGGCAGGAGAATTGCTTGAACCTGGGAGGCAGAGGTTGCAATGAGCGGAGATTGCGCCACTGGACTCCAATCTGGGCGACAGAGTGAGACTCCATCTCAAAAAAAAAAAAAAAAAAAAGAAAAAGAAAGAAGCCACCGTGGGTTATAATAGCCGGGCCCTGCCCACTGCTCCCAATCGCTTTCCCAACAAGTGGCCAGGCTGGTAGACAGGGGGTTACTGAGGCCCAAGCAATGCTTCTGGGGCTTTCCCTGGTGCCTCCTAGCTTAGCAAATGACCTGTGGGCATCACATGGGGCCTAGCAGGTGTGAGATGAAATTCTGGCAGGTGGATGGCTCGGTGTAGCCTGAGATGGTGTCCTCAGCCTCTCAGCACCAACCTTGAGAAGTTTACTAGGAGGTGGATGTGAGTGGGGACAAGCGTCTCCTGGTCTCATCAGTATAGACACATGACAATTTCAAGGAGAGCTTTGGAATGAAAGTAGGCAAGGATGAGAAAATGTAACAAGAACTGACCGTCAGTAGCACTGAGAAGACTCCAGAACCCTTCTGAAGCATGATAACCCCATCACAGTGTGAGGTTGGGGGTCCTTATCCCCAACTTAGAGATGATGAAATGGGAGCCCAAAAGGTTGAGTGAGTGGCCCTAAGCCAGTCAGCAGGAATGGTTATATTAGGATTCACCAGAGAAACAGAAGTCCCCCCACCCCACACATACATAGAATGAGATTTGTTATACACACACACTCACACACATACATCTGTAGAACAGGTTTATCATAAGGTACTGGCTCATGCACTTATGGAAGCCGAGAAGTTTACAAGCTGTCCTCTGCAAGAGAGAGACCCAGGAGGCCAGGTGTGGTGGCTCACGCCTGTAATCCTAGCACTTTGGGAGGCCCAGGCAGGCTGATCACCTGAGGTCAGGAGTTTGAGACTAGCCTAGCCAACATGGTGAAACCCTGTCTCTACTAAAAATAAAAAAATTAGCTGGGCCTGGTGGTGGGTTCCTGTAATCCCTGCTATTTGGGAGGCTGAGGCAGGAGGATCACTTGAACTCAGGAGGCGGAGGTTGCAGTGAACCGAGATCGCGCCTTTGCACTCCAGCCTGGGCAACAGAGTGAGACTCCATCTAAAAAAACAGAACAAAACAAAAAACAAAACAACAACAAAGAAAACACACAAACAAAAACAAGCTAGAGACCCAGGAAAGCCAGTGGTGTAGCTAGAAGATCTGAGAGCTGGAGAACCAATGGTGTAGATTCCAGCCCAGGTCTGAAGGCCTGGGAACCAGGAGCAGGAGAAGATCGATGTCCCAGCTCAAGCACTTGGGCAGAGTGGAACCAATCTTCCTCTGTCTTGTTCTATCAGAAGGAGCTCAACAGCTTGGATGGTGCCCACTTACATTGGAGAGGGCCGTGTGCCCTACTCAGTCCTCCAACACCAATGCTGATCTCTTGCGGAAGCACTTCCTGGACAAGCCCAGATAGATTGTTTAACCAGCTATCTGGGCATCCCGGAGCCCAGTCCAGTTGACACCTAGAATTGACTATCCTAGGTTGGGCATGGTGGCTCCTACCTGTAATCCCAGCACTTTGGGAGGCCGAGGCAAGCGGATTGCTTGAGGTCAGGAGTTCAAGACTAGCCTGGCCAACTTGGCAAAATCCTGTCTCCACTAAAAATATAAAAAATTATCCTGGCGTGGTAGCATGTGCCTGTAGTCTCAGCTACCTGGGAGGCTGAGGCATGAGAATTGCTTAAACCCAGGAGGCGGAGGTTTCAATGAACCGAGATCATACCACTGCACTCCAGCCTGGGCAACAGAGTGAGACACTGTCTCTAAATAAATAAATAAATAAATAAATAAATAAATAAATAAATAAAATTGACCATCCTAATGGGGAAAGGAGCTGCCAGGCCACCTGGCTGCAGTTGCCCCATGTTAACCCTTTGAGGTCTGATCCAAGGGCCCCCACAGGGGCCATGTTGGTCAGACCAAGCCCTGCAAGGTGTAGGGGGTTAAATTCTGGGCATCCCTTTTTAAGAGACTGAGACAGCCGCCTTCTAGTATTTGGGGTCATCCATAGAAGAAGCAGAAGTGAGAACCCAGATGGAAGAGACAGGAGACAAGAGATGTGGTGGACAGACAGTGGGACCGAGCCCCATCCTTGGCAGATGGAGGAGCCCCTCTCACCATGCTCATGGATGTCAAATGAGGCCTCAGAACCTGGCCTCATTTGTCCTCATCAAGTCCCCTGCCCAGAGGGAGATGGGAGGACGGGGGTGGCTGGGAAGGTAGGGGTGTGAACCCCATGACAAGTTTAGAAGCAGTTGGTGAGTTTCTTTTGGCCAGCAAGGGGGAGCAGCCTCAGTTTCCCCATTGGAGCCTGGGAAGTGGGTGGCCCTGTCCTGCTCCACGCACCTGTGATCTTGGTGTGACCATGCTGATACCATGTAAACCCTGGAAGCACAATTACGTGCTCTGGACTTGAAGTCATTAGTGTGGGAGAGCCAGCTGCTCTGCTGAGCTGACTGTCCGCTTCACTGCCCCGGCACTCAGTTCTCCTTGTTTCTTTGTTTCAGGCCGAAGGAGTTCCCCGGGCGTACACCTACAGCGCATTCTTCTGTCCCAGTGGTGAGTCCCCCGTGCCCATCCTGCTAAGGTGTGGCCAGCTGGCTGGGTCAGGACTTTAGCCTTCCCCATTTCCCACACTGTGGGGGCTGTCCCACTGCAAAGTGAGTACCTGACCTTCCTGGGGGAAGGGGGCACTGTGGTTTAGGAAGAGCGATGTCCCAGCTAGGGACAGGCAGAGCCAGTGAGGGTGGGGCATCCACCACGCAGAGAATGAATACACAGGAATGTGCACTGCAGGTACCAAGCAAAGTTAGGCTGGCCGGGTGCGGTGGCTCATGCCTGTAATCCCAGAACTTTGGGAGGCTGAGGAAGGTGGATCATTTGAAATCAGGAGTTTGAGACCAGCCTGGCCAACACGATGAAACTTATCAATACTAAAAGTACAAAGTTGGCTGGGTGCGATGGCTCACGCCTGTAATCCCAGCACTTTGGGAGGCTGAGGCAGGTGGATCACGAGGTCAGGAGTTTGAGACCAGCCTGACCAACATGGTGAAACCCCGTCTCTACTAAAAATACAAAAAATTAGCTGGGCATGGTGACGCGCACCTGTAATCCCAGCTGCTCAGGAGGCTGAGGCAGGAGAATCACTTGAACCTGGGAGGCAGAGGTTGCAGTGAGCCAAGATCACGCCATTGCACTCCAGCATGGGTGACAGAGTGAGACTCCGTTTCAAAAAAAAAAAGTACGAAGTTAGCCAGGTGTGATTGTGTGTGCCTGTAATCTCAGCTGCTTGGGAGGTTGAATCAGGAGAATCTCTTGAACCCAAGAGGTGGAGGTTGCAGTGAGCTGAGATTATGCCACAGCATTCCAGCCTGGGTGACAGAGTGAGACTCTGTCTCAAAACAACGACAACAACAATAACACACGAGCCTGGACCTAAAGATCACACCTTACACAAGAATGAACCCAAAATGGATCATGGACTTACATGTAAAACTATAGTGCTTTTGGAAAAAAACATAAGACAACCTGGGCAACATGGCGAAATCCCATCTCTACAAGAAATTAAACAAACAAACAAACAAACAAAAACTTAGCCATATGTGGTGGTGCACACCTGTAGTCCCAGCTACTTGGGAGGTGGAAGTGGGAGGATTGCTTGAGCCCAGGAGGTAGAGGTTGCAGTGAGCCTTGTACCTCTGCACTCCAGCCTGGTTGACAGAGAGATACTCTGTCTCAAAAAAAGAAGTAAGGAAGGGAGGGAGGGAGGGAGACAAGGAAGAAGGAAGGAAGGAAGGAAGGAAGGAAGGAAGGAAGGAAGGAAGGAAGGAAGGAAGGAAAGAAAAGAAAGAGGAAGGGAAGGAAAGGAAAGGAAGGAAAAAAGAAGGAAGGAAGGGAGGAGAGAAGGAAGGAAGGAAGGAAGAAAAGAAGGAAAAAAAGATCTTGACTCACTGCAACCTCCATCTCCTGGGTTCAAGTGATTCTCCCATCTCAGCCTCCTGACTAGCTGGGATTACAGGCACCTACCACCACGCCTGACTAATTTTTGTCTTTTTAGTAGAGACAGAGGTTCACCATGTGGGTCAGGCTGGTCTCAAACTCCCAATCTCAGGTGGTCCACCTGCCTCAGCCTCCCAAAATGCTGGATTCTTTACCAAAGTTGAGCTCTCCTAGGTCCTTTGCATCTCTGTATAAATTCTGGAATCCGTTTAGCAATTTCTCCAAAAGAGCCTCCTGGGATTTTGATTGGGATTGCTTTGAATCTGTAGAACCATCTGGGGAAGAACTCACATGTTCATGATAGTCCATGAACATAGTCTAGCTTTCGTTGATTTGGGTTTTCTTTTGTTCCTCTCCTCAGCCTTTTCAATTTTCAGCACCTTGCTCATCTTTGGTCAGATTTATCCCTGAGCATCTTATCTTTTTGTTTTTTTAGAGAGGATCTTGCTTTAGAGAGAGTCTTGCTTGTTTTTAGAGAGAGAGTAACCCAGGCTGGAATGCAATGGTGCGATCATGGCTCACTGCAGCCTTGAACTCCTGGGCTCAAGCAGTCCTCCTGCCTTGGCCTCCCAAGTAGCTGGGATGACAGATACATGCCACTGCTAATTTAAAAACATTTTTGTAGAGATAGGAATCTTGCTCATTGTTAGGCCGACACCATTCCACCATGTGTGCTGAGTCACAGTGAGACCCACTCCTTGTGGTCCTGGTACTCACCTCTAGGTACCATCAGGGAAAGTGGGATGCCTCCAGGTGCCCTCTCAACTCCCCATCTCCTTTTCTCCATCCAGAGAGAGTCCACATCTCCACCCCCAACAAGTATGAGTTCCAGTATGTGCAGCGGCCACTGCACCTCACCCGCTTTGATGTGGCTGTGCGAGCTCACAATGATGCCCGTGTGGCCTTGTCTTCTGGGCCCCAGGACACAGCAGGCATGATCGAGATCGTCCTGGGGGGTCATCAGAACACCAGGTCATGGATCTCCACCAGCAAGATGGGAGAGCCCGTGGCCAGTGCACACACGGCCAAGATCCTCTCCTGGGATGAATTCAGAACATTCTGGATCAGCTGGCATGGTGGCCGTATCCAGGTATACAGCAGGACTCCCTGGAGCTTGTGCAGAAACCTCATGTTCCTCCAGTATTAGCTACTTCCTGTTCTGTGCCAGGCTCAGATGGGGGGTCGGGAGGAGCAAGGGAAACACAGGGCACCACCTCAAGTTGTTCTCAGTCTAGAGTCGCTTACCAAAAAAACATGTAGCAAGGGCTGTGGCAGAGGAAGCACCCAGGGATCTGGGAGCAGAGAGAGGAGGCAGGTGGGCAGGGAGAAAAGAAGAATGGACATGAGCAAGTGAAATGGGGGTTGAGGTGTGTTTTCTGGGCCAAGCAAAAAAGATATAGAAGCTAACACAGCTTCCTAACAGAGGAAGCTAATACAGTTTCCTAGAGGAAGAACATAACCGAAGTAGGTTTTGAAGTATGAATAGGAGTTCGCTAGGCAAAATGGGAGCAGAGTATGTTCTCCAGGCAGAGCAATAACATGTGCAAAGGTCCAGAGGTTCCAAGGAGCCCAGTGACTTCAGAATCTGCCGATGTCATGCCTTATGTTTCCGTCGGCTGTTTAATGGATGGGGTAACCTCTGGTTTTTCTCACCTCTGATCCCCCAAAGACCCTTCCTCACACTGTGAGTGTGGCTAAGGCCTCTGACCCTGGCCACAAAGTTGGTGTCACTGCCACCTGAGTGCCTACTGCCTGCTTCCCGCCAGTGTCCAGTAGCCTTGGTTTCTTTTTCCAGGTTGGCCACGGTCCAGAGCCGTCCAACGAGTCTGTCATTGTGGCCTGGACCCTCCCGAGGCCACCAGAGGTCCAGTTCATTGGCTTTTCCACTGGCTGGGGCTCCATGGGTGAATTCCGAATCTGGAGGAAGATGGAGGTGGATGAGAGCTACAGCGAGGCCTTCACCCTGGGGGTCCCGCACGGTGCCATCCCTGGGTCTGAGCGGGCCGCCGCCTCCATCATCGGTGCGTCTGTCCCACAGCCTGGCTTGGGGAGGTCAGGTGGCAAGAGCCAAGGTTGAGACTCCAGGCTTAGTCTCAAGCTGGGCTTTGCTGGGGACCTGTGTCCTGGGGTGTCCACCCATACACCCACTCACCTGACAAGCAGCTTCCAGTGCCTTCTCTATGCCCATCCATGTGCTGGGCATTGAGGCAGCCCAAGAGCTGACCCCAACGCCACCCTTGAGGGGCTTCTAGTCCAGTTGAGATGGCAGATCCAGAGCCCCCCCAGTCTAAACCTTATGCAGAAGTCAGGGTGGGGTGACCCCTAAGAACCTGCAGTGAGCCCTGTGAGGGCAGTGGGCCAAGGACAAGCTCCAAGAAAACACAAATGCCTGATGAAGTCAGCCAGTTATGGGGTGCAGGATGGAGGCCTTGGGGGTCTTGGTGATAGGGCAGGCGTCTGGAGCAGTTGCCGAGTAGAGGTGAGAGGCTCTGACTAGGGACATAGGAAGCAGCCTTAGGGGGCCTGTAGGGTTGGGATGTGTATTACTCTGTTTTCATGCTGCTGATAAAGACATACCCGAGACTGGGTAATTTATAAAGAAAAAGAGGTTTAATTGACTTTCAGTTTCACGTGGCTGGGGAGGCCTCACAATCATGGCGGAAGGCGAAAGGCACATCTTACGTGGCCAGAGGGAGAATGAGAGAATGAGAGCCAAGTGAAAGGGGTTTCCCCTTATAAAACCATCAGATCTCGTGAGACTTCTTCACTACCACGAGAACAATATGGGGAAACCGCCCCCATAATTCAATTAGCTCCCACCAGGTCCCTCCCACAACACGTGTGAATTATGGGAGCTACAATTCAAGATGAGATTTGGTTGGTGACACAGCCAAACCATATCAAGATGCCTCTAGTAGCCCAGGTGCTGGAGGGGAAAGTGTGATTGTGTGATTGATCCAGTGCTGGGAGTCGGGCAGAAGGGTGGTGAGAGTTTGGGATGGGCCTGAGCCAGGGAGGAGAGGGCGAGAGGCCAGAAGGAGATGGACGGGCCCAAATGAGGGTGTTGAGGCTCTCTCTGACATCAGAGGGCAGAGGCCCTGGTACCCAGGCAGGTAGGCGGTTGTGGCCAGATCAGAGGAATTTCGAGTCTACAATTCCTGAGGCACGAGAGCAAGTCAGAGTGGATGTGGGGCTGAGTGACTACGATGGGATTGAGGGAGACAGGAGAAGAAGCAGAGAGGCAGGAATGGAGAGGAGGTGACGGCTGGGATCCGTGCGCCAGTGCCTTCAGTGATACAGCAGGTGGAGAAGAAGCTGGGTAGCCTACAGCATGGTGATGAGAAAGTAGCCAGGCTGTTTGTGCAACAAGGGGAGGCTGCAGGGGCAATGGCAGCCTCAGTGAGACATGCGGAGATGCTAAAGAAGGAAAGAAGGGGCCAGGTGTGGTGGCTCACGCCTGTAATCCCAGCACTTTGGGAGGCCGAGGCGGGTGGACAACGAGGTCAAGAGGTCGAGACCATCCTGACCAACATGATGAAACCCCGTCTCTACTAAAAATACAAAAATTAGCTGGGCATGGTGGCACAAGCCTGTAACCCCAGCTACTCGGGAGGCTGAAGCAGAAGAGTCGCTTGAACCTGGGAGGCGGAGGTTGCAGTGAGCCGAGATCACGCCACTGCAGTCCAGCCTGGTGACAGAGCGAGATTCCATCTAAAAATAAATAAAATAAAGTAAAATAAAATAAAATAGGAGAGAAGGTGTGTTCAGGGGACATTGGGGGTCCCAGGGGGTCCATCAGCCATCTTTGAGACAAGGAAGCCAAGAAGAGGAATACAGAATGTCAAGAGGATGGGAGAATCAGAATTTTTTTTAAAGAGAGAAAACTTTCAAAAATGCACCTCCAACTCCATCCATACATCTAGAAACTTTTTTAAAAATTGAAGTGCTCTTGGTTAAAGAAAAAATCTGAATATTTTAGAAAGAATATTTTAGGGCCAGGCACAGTGGATCATGCCTGTAATCCTGGCACTTTGGGAGGCAGAAGCATGTGGATCACCTGAGGTCAGGAGTTCGAGACCAACCTGGCCAACATGATGAAACCCTGTCTCTACTAAAAAAATAAAATAAAAATTAGCCGGGTGTGGTGGCACATGCCTGTAGTCCCAGCTACTCAGGAGGCTGAGGCAGGAGAGTTGCTTGAACCTGAGAGGCGGAGGTTGCAGTGAGATGGGGTTGTGCCACTGCATTCCAGCCTGGGTGACATAGTGAGACTCCATCTCAAAAAAAAAAAAAAAAAAAAAAAAAAGGAATATTTTAGGAAGACTATTTAGAATGGAATGAGAATGATTGTATAGACATACTGATATTTGTGGGATGCAGCCAAAGTTGTACTTAGAGGCCAATGTATAGCCTTCAATGCACCCATTTTAAAAGCCAGCGAGGGAAAAAGCACTGAACAGAATGAAAAGCTAGAGGAAGAAAGCCTAAGTTACAACTAAAGAACACAGAAGAAGGTGTGTAAAATTGTCACCAAAGCCAGTACACCAGCTGGTCTGAGCAGGCAGAGGGTGTCAGCCCCAAAGGGCAGTTGGATGACTGACTGGGTGACACACGCAGTCTCCCATCCCTGGGTAAAGCTGTGCCTGTTCTCTACTGAGCTGGGACAGCCCCCAACTCAACTCTCTTCTCCTTCCCACCAGGGGACGTCATGGGGCCAACCCTGAACCACCTCAACAACCTCCTGCGGCTGCCCTTTGGCTGTGGAGAGCAGAACATGATCCACTTTGCTCCCAACATCTTTGTCTTGAAGTATCTTCAGAAAACCCAGCAGCTCAGCCCTGAGGTGGAGAGAGAGACCACCGACTACCTAGTACAAGGTATTGGGGAAAAACTGCCTGGTCGAGGTGGGAGCAGGGGGGTCAGGTTCAGCCTTCAGTGGAGAAGACCACGCTGGAGGCGGCCCACATACCAGGCACAGCGATGAGGAGGAAGTGGGCAAAAGAGGCCATTCAAGGTGGCCCTGATCTGGTCACTGTCAGCAGGAGCCTGATGTCTCTGGCTGTTAGGATGAGATTCTGAATGAATGGTGCTGTTCAGATACAGGGAGAGGAACAGCATCTTTTTAAAGTGTAGATTTTTTTTTTTACAACAAGAATATAACAGCATTATTAAAAATAACATTTAGAAAAGAAAAAAGAAGGCCAGGCACAGTGGCTGATGCCTGTAATCCCAACACTTGGGAGGCCAAGGCAGGAGGATCACTTGAGCCCAGGAATTTGAGACCAGGCTGGGCAACAAAGCAAGACCCCGGTCTCTACAAAAAATAAAAACATATTAGCCAGACGTGGTGGCATGCACCTGTAGTCCCAGCTGCTCAGGAGGCTGAGGCAGGAGGATTGCTTGAGCCCAGAAGTTGGAGGCTGCAGTGAACTGTGATTGTGCCACTGCACTCCAGCTAGGGTGACCAAGTGAGACCCCAACTGCAAAAAAATAAGAAAGAAGAAAGAAGAAACAGTCAGGGGTTGCTCCAGGCTGAAAGTCTGGCATCACGAAGGCTGATCATGGACAGCTAGGAAGGCCAAGTCCACTGAGGCCAGGTCCTGGGGGCTCAGATTAGCAGCTCTTGTGAGAGTCTGGGAGGTGGGTGGACCCAGGGCCAGGCACACCGTGGTGGATCCATCCAGGCTCAGGTCCTTAAACACCACCCAGAGTCGAATGAGCCCTCCTCGTGAATAACAGCCTGTACCTCCACGGGACAACCAGACCCTGTGTACATCCAGCCAACTCGCCGTCCAGACTCGACAAACCCCAAATCAGCCCCCTCCGTCTTCCCCCCAAACCCACTTGTGTTCGTTTCCTAAAACCGCCACAATAAACTGCCACAAACTGGGTGACTTAGAACGACAGAAATGTGTCATCTCCTTATAGTTGTGGAGCCCAAAAGTCCAAACTAAAGGTGTCCACAGAGCTGGTTCCTTCTGGTGGCTCTGAGGGAGACTCTGTCCCAGGTCCCTCTGCTGGCATCTGCTGGCTCCAGGTGTTCCTTGGCTTATAGACCGATCAGCCTGCTCTGTGCCTCCACGATCGCATGGCTGTCACCTCTGTGACTAATTCCCTTTCTTTCTTTTTTTTTTCTTTTTCTCTTTTTTTTTTTTTTAGAGCCAGGGGTCTTGCTCTGTCACCCAGGCTGGAGTGCAGTGGTGCAATCATAGCTCACTGCATACTTGAACTCCTGGGCTCAAGCCAGCCTCCCACCTCAGCCTCCTGAGTAGCTGGGACTACAGGTGTGCACCACCATACTCAGCCAATTCTTTGTAAAGATGGGGTTCCACTATGTTGTCCAGGCTGGTCTTGAACTCCCGGCCTCGAGTGATCCTCTCGCCTCAGCCTCTCAAAGTGCTGGGATTCCAGGTGCAAGCCACGGCGCTCAGCCTCTCTTTTCAAGGACAAGGACACCCGTCATTGGATTTAGGGGCTACCGTAAATAAATCCAAGACGCTCTCCTCTGGAGATCCGAACCTTAATGATATCTGTTAAGATCTTTATTTCCAGTAAGGTCCCATTTTTGGGTTCTAAGTGGATGTGAATTTGGGAGGACCCACCCCATACAGAATGCCTTTTGTCACCTGTCCTGTCTCTGTGGACACAGCCCTGTCCTTCCTGAGGCTCAGGCCACACAGCGTGGTGGCCTCAGATTCGTCCTTCTTTCCCTCACAGCCCACGTCTGTCTGAGTAGCTCTGCCTTCACCCCAGGAAGGCTCCCCACCTCTGTCGCCACCACTGGGTCCAGACTCATCATTGCACACTTGGAGGGCCCCTGTCCCCAGCTTTCTGTCCAGACCCTACGGTCCACTGGCTCTATATGTCTCCTCCCACTCTTCTGCTACTCACACACCACCCGTGGCTCACTGTGCCCTCTCAGGAAAGTCACATGCCCAGCCCAGCCTTGGAGGCCCCTGTGGCCCACTGGCCTCTCGCCATACCCCCTCGTTCCCTGTTCCATTCCCTGCCCCCAGCACCTCCAGTTCTCTGAGCTTCCCAAGCTCCTGTCCCAGCAGGTGGAGCAGCCCCCACACCTGGGGACAGAGGGTGCTGCCCCAAGATGGTGGTTTCGCTGACCTCCTGGGAGTGACTGAAGGCCAGTGTGTGACCAGTAGTCACAAAGGGGCCATGTCAGTAAATGAGACAAATGAGTTGGAGGTTACAGCCACCCTAGATGTGGTGTGAGGCCGTTTCAGGGACCTCAGATGTGGTGTGAGGTAGTTCCAAGGATCCCCAGTGTGGTGTGGAGCAGTTTCAGGGACCCCCGATGTGGTATAGGGCAGTTTCAAGGACCCCAGATGTGGTGTGGGGCAGTTTCAAGAATCCCGGAGGTAGTGTGGAGCAGTTTCAGGGATCCTAGATGTGGTGTGGGGCAGTTTTAGGTACCCCGGATGTGGTGTGTAGTTTCAGGGACCCCAGATGTGGTATAGGGCAGTTTCAAGAACCCCAGATGTGTGGAGCAGTTTCAGGGACCCCAGATGTGGTGTGGGGCAGTTTCAGGGACCTCAGGTGTAGTGTGGAGCAGTTCCAGGGACTCCAGATGTGGTATGAGACAGTTTCAAGAACCCCAGGTGTGGTGTAGGGCAGTTTCAGGGACCCCAGATGTGGTGTGGGGCAGTTTCAAGAACCCCAGATGTGGTGCGGAGCAGTTTGAGTCCAAACTCATCATTGCACACTTGGAGGGTCCCCGTCCCCAGCTTTCTGTCCAGACCCTACAGTCCACTGGCTCTATATGTCACCCCCAGATGTGGTGTGGAGCAGTTCCATGGACTCCAGATGTGGTATGAGACAGTTTCAAGAACCCCAGATGTGGTGTGGGTCACTTTCAGGGACCCCAGATGTGACATGGGGCAGTTTCAGTGAGCCCAGTTTCAAGGACCCCACATGTGGTATGGGGAAGTTTCAGGGACCCCACATGTGGGTGTATGGCAGTTTCAAGGACTCCAGATGTGAGTCGAGGCAATTCCAGGGACCCCACATGTGGTGTGGCTTCGGAGGTCCGGGGTGGGGGGTGGCAGAGCGGTGTAGGTCCCCGGGGCGGGCCTGGGCCAGGCCACTCAACAGGACAGGGTCCTCTGTGCTTGCCCCGCAGGCTACCAGCGCCAGCTGACCTACAAGCGCCAGGATGGCTCCTACAGCGCGTTTGGGGAGCGGGACGCATCGGGGAGCATGTGGTGAGTCCCCACCGCCCCGGGCACGGCCTCTGAGGCTCCCCACCCAACGCCACAGCCTCATATCCAATGCAGTGTGGCCAGATCACTTGGCACCTGATCCCCGGATGACAGGGAACACAGCTGGGAAGTAAAGACTGTGGTGGTCCCAGCTCCAGGGATGGAGGCTGGGGCTTGGGACTTGGGGCCAGTGCAGAGCTGGTGATTGTAACTGTTCCTCTTTCTGCTGTTGTTACCACAGTGAGCAGGACCCCATGCCCTGCTCTCTGGCCCCTTGGGAGTGAGCCCTGGATGCCCTGGGCTTCCTCAAGCTCCCAGGACCCAGGAATAGCGGTGACTAGAGCAGGAGGAGATGGCAGGGCAAAGGGGTCAGAGGCCAGACCAGTGCCTCGAGGCTGGCGTGTGCTGTCTGCAGGAGAAGCCTGGGATCTTGTTTCTGTGGTAACTGCAGGAAGGTGATCAGGGCAGGGAGGGTCCCTAGGAGGCCGGGCACACCTGGATCTTGTTTTCCTGGGATCCTCAGGCTACTGCAGTTCTTGGCATCATCATGGGGTTCACCTGAGACTGTGGGTGACCTTCCAACTTCTGTGCCCATCACCAGACTCCTCCTCAGAGATTGCCACCCTGGTAGTGCCGACAGCAGCTGTGAGCGTGGAAACTGCCTTGTTTTTAGTCCAACGGAGTGTCCACTGCACAGTTGCAGTGCCAGAACCCGGGGAGCAGGGACATGTGGCTGATTACTTCCTGCCATGGGCAGCATCACTTACCCAGCTCCAGAGGGGCCCAGGGTTGGTGACACACCCAGCATCCCCCAGCCCCAGCAGCTTATCCACACTGTCCCAGCTCTAGTCCCAGGGCCCTGCCTTGCTGACAACCGATAATGCAAGGCCCTGTGCAAGATGCAATAGTTATCCACTGCTGTGTAACAAGTGACCCCTAAATGTAGCCATTTAAAACAACAAACATGTATTATCTCTATTTATTATGTACTAATTCTTATGGAATTAAGGAGCAGCTTAGCTGGGTGTTTCTGCCTGGGGATGTTTGTTGGGGTTGCAGTCAAGGTGTTGGCTGTTGCTGCCTTCATCTGAAGGCTCAACTGGGGCTGGAAGATTTGTTTCCAAATTGACTCCCTCACATGGCTGTTGGCAGGAGGCCTCAGTTGCTCACCATGTGGACTTCTCCATAGGGGCTACTTGAGTGTTCTTACAACATGGCGGCCAGCTTCCTCTCACAGTGAGCAATTCAAGAGAGAAAGAGAGAAGGATGCGATGCCACAGTGCCTTTTGTTACTTGGTCTTACAAGTCAGGCTGTCACTTCTGCCTCATTCTATTCTATTCCTTTTTTTTGTTTTTTTTCTTTTTTTGAGATGGAGTCTCACCCTATCACCCAAGCTGGAGTTCAGTGGTACAGTCTCAGCTCACTGCAGCCTCCACCTCCTAGGTTCAAGCAATTCTCCTGCCTCAGCCTCCTGAGTAGCTGGGATTATAGGCACCTGCCACCACACCTGGCTAATTTTTGCATTTTTAATAGAGACAGGGTTTCGCCATGTTGCCCAGATTGGTCTCGAACTCCTGACCTCAGGTGATCTGCCCACCTCAGCCTCCCAAAGTGCTGGGACTACAGGTGTGAGCCACCGTGCCTGGCCCACATTCTACTCTTTAGTGGTGAGTTGCTAAGTACACCCCATCTACACATGAAGAGATTCAGGCCTCCATCTCTTGAAAGGAGGAGTATTAAGGTACTTGTGGATATATATTAAAATGACTATAATAGGTGTATAATTTTGTATCTATAAAACAAAGAAGTAGAGAGTGATGGAGCAGGGTAGTTATATGGGATGGTCAGGAAAGGTCTCCTGGAGGATATGAGGGAGGAGCCATGAAAATCCAAGGGAACAGCATTCCAGGCAGAGGGAACAGCCATTGCAAAGGCCCTGAGGCAGGACCCAGCTTGACGAGGTTGGGCCACAGAAGGGAGGCTGGTGTGGCTGGAGCAGCACAGGGCCAGGAGGTTGGTGACCTGGCACGAGGGAAGAGGGAGGGGCAAGGCCAGGTTGATCAGAGCAGGAGTCTGGATTTAGTGCTGTGTGGAAGAGAATGCTGTTAGAGGGCTGGGAGCAGAGCAGGATCAGGATCTGTGTCTCCTGGTGGGCCGTGTGTGTGCACGCATGTGTTGAATCACATGTGTGATTCAACATTTGAGATGGGCTGAGCATCCCAAATGGGAAAAATCCAAAGTTCGAACTGCTCCAACATCCAAAACATTATTATTAATATTATTATTATTATTATTACTAGAGACAGAGTCTTGCCCTATTGCCCGGGCTGGAGTGCCGTGGCTCGATCTCAGCTCACTGCAACCTCCGCCTTCTGGGTTCAAGCAATTCTTCCACCTCAGCCTCCCGAGTAGCTGAGATTACAGGCGCCCATCACCACGCCTATATAATTTTTGTATTTTTAGTAGAGACAAGGTTTTGCCATGTTGACCAGGCTGTCCTCGAACTCCTGACCTCCAGTGATCCATCTGCTTTGGCCTCCCAAAGTGCTGGGATAACAGGTGTGAGCCACTGTGCCCGGGCTTCAAGATGCTTTTAGTGCCAACCTGATGTTCAAGGGAAACGTTCATTGGAGCATTTCAGATTTTTTGGATTTGGGATGCCCAAGTATACAGTATCTGTAAGTTCCACAGGATTCAATCAACCACAGATTGAAACTATTCAGAAAAGAAAATGAGTCCGGGTGTGGTGGCATGTGCCTGTCATCCCAGCACTTTGGGGAAGCTAAAGCGGGAAGATTCTTTGAGGCTGGGAGTCGGCAGCCAGCCTGGGAAACATGGCAAAACCTCATCTCTGCAAAAATGTTAAAAATGAGCTGGATGTGGTGGTACATCACTACCCCTTAGTCCCAACTACTGGGGAGGCTGAGGTAGGAGGATCGCTTGAGCCCAGAAGTTCAAGGCTGCAGTGAGCTATGATTGTGCCACTGCGCTCCAACCTGGGTGACAGAGCAAAACTCCATCTCTATTGCGGGAACTGGCCAGCAGTCCGCAATGCAACAGTGCTTTCTCTTTGCTCCCAGGTTGATTGGCAGGTTGAGAAATAATAGCCACACACAAGGTAGTGAAAGCTGGGTCCAGGGGGGGTCACCACCTTCTGGTCCCATGGTGCCAACAATGCACTGGATATGCCAGCATTTATTATTAAGTTTAATGAGGGCGGAGGTAGGTTAGTGAAGGATTTAGGGTCATTTGATTATGAGGTGAGATGGTCACATGGGGATGAAGTAATTCTTTAACATAACTTCTGTATGCAAAAGTATAGCATACAGAGATAAGAATTTACAATTGTTGGGCACAGTGGCTCGCGCCTGTAATCCCAGCATTTTGGGAGGCCAAGGCGGGTGGATCACAAGGTCAGGAGATCAAGACCATCCTGGCTAACACGGTGAAACCCCGTCTCTATAAAAATACAAAAAATTAGCCGGGCGTGGTGGCAGCGCCTGTAGTCCCAGCTACTCGGGAGGCTGAGGCAGGAGAATGGCATGAACCTGGGGAGGCGGAGCTTACAGTGAGCCGAGATCTCACCACTGCACTCTAGCCTGGGCGACGAGTGAGACTCTGTCTTAAAAAAAAAAAAAAAAAGAAGAAGAATTTACAGTATAGTGTGTGCATCATAGAAACAGGATGTGAAGTTAGAAGAATTTACAGTATAGTGTGTGCATCATAGAAACAGGATGTGAAGTTAGACAACTGGTTAGACCAGAAATTCTCAGAAGGGAGTATGCCTTAACCCTAAAGAGGCCTAGAAGAGCCGTGGCAAGATGAGGGCGTTTATAGCCCTATCTTATCCATATGGATAGGCACCCCCTAACCCCATGCATCCATTTATAGGCTCTCCACGAGGGTCGCATTCCATTCCCAGAGCTATGAACATCTGCTTTTCTGGGACAGGAATCTTGGTGATGTGAAACCCCCCTGACTGCAGGTCCATTCATAGGCTCTCTGCGGGGGAAGCACATCATGCGCTGTTGGCTCATTCTGACAGTCCAACCTGGCATTGTCTTTACACAGTCCTGCACGCAATTTTGTATTTACAGTAATCAGGAGCATTTCATCTTTTATTCTGTAGCAATAGTTTCAGGGGTTCTCCCTACACATCTCTTAAAAAAAAAAGTTTAAAAATTCCACAGAGTTCCAAAAACGAAAAGTTGAATTTGTTGCATGCTGAGTAGAATATTGAATTCATGCAAATGAAGGGACGTGTGGGCATTGTATTAGGTGTTCTAAGTAACCAACACATGATTTAAAGTACACGGGAGGGGCCAGGCACAGTGGCTCACGCCTGGAATTCCAGCACTTTGAGAGGCCAAGGTGGACGGATCACCTGAGGTCAGGAGTTCGAGACCAGCCTGGCCAACATGGTGAAACCCCGTCTCTACTCAAAATACAAAAATTAGCTGGGCATGGTGGCAGGCGCCTGTAATCCCAACTACTCAAGAGACTGAGGCAGGAGAATTGCTTGAACCCTGAGGCAGAGGTTGCAGTGAGCCGAGATTGCGCCACTGCACTCCAGCCTGGGTGACAGGGTGAGACTGTGTCTCAAAAATAAAAATAAAAAATAAAGTTCATGGGAGGATGTGTGTCGGTTATATGCAACTACTACACCCTCATATATCAGGGACTTAGAGCATCAGTGGATTTTGGTATCCTTGGGGGTCCTGGAACCAGTCCCCCACAGATAGCAAGGGATTCCTGTAAATGCAAATATTCCAAAATCCAAATTCAAAATCTGAAGCACTTCTGGTTCCAAGCATTTCAGATAACAGATAGTCATTAGGCTTTAGTTTTTATTATTTATTTTAATTAACTTTTTTTTTTTTTTTTTTTTAAGACAAGATCTCACTCTGTTTCCCAGGCTGGAGTGCAGGGGCACGATCAGGGCTCACTGCAGCCTTGACTTCCCAGGCTCAAGCAATTCTCCCGTCTCAGCCCCCCAAGCAGCTGGAACCACAGGCGTGCACCACCATGTCCAGCTGATTTTTTTGAATTTCAGTAGAGACCAGGTCTTGCTGTGTTGCCCAGGCTGGTCTTGAGCTCCTGGCCTCAACCAATCCTCCACCTCTGCCTCCCAAAGACTGTAGGCAGGAGGTACCTCACCCGGCCATAGATCTTACTTTTTTTTTTTTTTAAGACGGAGTCTTGTTCTGTCGCCCAGGCTGGAGTGCAGTGGCGCAATCTCGGCTCACTGCAAGCTCCGCCTCCTGGGTTCACGCCATTCTCCTGCCTCAGCCTCCCGAGTAGCTGGGACTACAGGCGCCCGCCTTCACGCCAGGCTAATTTTTTGTATTTTTAGTAGAGACGGGGTTTCACCGTGTTAGCCAGGATGGTCTCGATCTTCTGACCTCGTGATCCGCCCGCCTTGGCCTCCCAAAGTGCTGGGATTACAGGCGTGAGCCACCGTGCCTGGCCAGATCTTACTTTTTAGAAGAGTTCTAGGTTTCCAGAAAAATTGAGTAAATAGAATAGAGTTCCCATACACCTCGACCACCCATACAGAGTTTCCCCTGTGATAGGCATCTTGTATTAGTGTGCTGCATTTGTTATAATTGATGGACCGGCATTAAAATGTTATGAACCATTGTTCATAATCTACATTAGGGTTCACTCACACACTCACTTTTTATTTATTTATTTGTTTGTTTGTTAATGAATGACAGGGTCTGGCTATGTTGTCCAGGCTGGTTTCAAACTCCTGGCCTCAACTGATCCTCCTACTTCAGCCTCCCAAGGTGCTGGGATTACAAGTATGAGCCACCGAGTCCAACTGAGAGCTCATTTCTTTTTATCACTAGATAACATTTATCCTGTTTGCGTTTTACAGTGGAAAAGCTGAGAGAGCACAGTATGCTGGACCATGGGAATTCCACAATTCCCAGCACACAGCTGGCTTGGTTCTGTCCTTGCCTCCTGTCCCTGCCATGCACAAAATGCATGGAACTTCCCTCTGGTTGCAGTGTGCATAGCTGGTGATGGGGTGGGGATGGGTCTGGGAGCCATGGGGTGTCCTGGCTGATCCACGGAACATGGGAGTAGAAAAGAGAGGATGCATTTGAGGTACCTGAGAGGGAGAGCGGCCTGGACGAGCTTTGGGTATAGTTTATTTTATTTTATCTATGTATTTATTTATTCTTTTTTGTCTGAGACAGGGTCTCACTCTGACACCCAGGCTAGAGTGCCGTGGCACGATCTCGGGTCACTGCAACCTTGAGACTAACCTGGCCAACATGGTGAAACCCCATTGGGATCAAGCAATTCTCTTGCCTCAGCCTCCCAAGTAGCTGGGATTACAGGCACCCACCGCCACGCCTGGCTAATTTTTTTTTTTTTTTTTTTTTTTTAGTGGAGATGGGGTTTTGCCGTGTCAGTCAGGCTGGTCTTGAACTCCTGAGTCCCAGCACTTTGGGAAGCCGAGGTGGGAGGATCACTTGAGGTCAGGAGTTTGAGATCAGTCTGGCCAACATGGTGAAACCCTGTCTCTACTAAAAATACAAAAATATTAGTTGGCCATGGTGGCAATCCCAGCTACTCAGGAGGCTGTAATCCCAGCTACTCGGGAGGCTGAGATATGAGAATTGCTTGAACCTGAGAGGCAGAGGCTGTAGTGAGCATGGTGGCTCATGCCTATAATCCCACCACTTTGGGAGGCCATGGTGGGAGGATCGCTAGAGCCCAGGAATTCGAGACCAACCTGGGCAACATAGTAAGACCCCATCTCTATAAAAAATTTAAAAATTCGCTGGACGTGGAGGGAGGCAGGCTGGTGGGCAGGCTAATGTGTCCTGTTTTTGTGATTCATATAAACAGAGCCTAGAGCCACTTGATTTTGAAGACAACTTATTCTTTGATCCCGAATTTGCAAAGTTTCCTCTGCTAACAATTCTGGTTTTCATCCCTCTTGGCCTCCTGGCTTCCATCTTGTGCTTCTCTCCTTCATTTGTTCACACATTTATTCCCTGGCCTTGCCAGCTCTTACTCAGGGTGGCAACTGCAAAAGCAGGGCAAGGGAGATGGGGTGGATGAGAGACACGCCACAGAGCAGAGATGTTTTTGGCTGCAAGTAACAGAAAATGAGCTGAAGAGCAATTCTGAACATCAGCTCGCCCCGCAGGGCTGGGGAGGCTCTACGGTTGGCTGATTCAGCAGTCCCATAGTGCACTGGGGCTCGTTTATTTCCTTCCATCCCCGGGTATCCCCTCCCTCGGCACATGGCTGTGCCCCTCATGGTGGCAAAATGGCTGCAGCTGCTCCCAGCGGTGCATCACACGCCCATTCCAAAGCCATTCCCAGGCCCAGTAACTGGAATGCCCATGACTGTGGCTGGCTGGGACCATAGAGGAGCACAGATCTCCAAAGCACATGGCTGCTGGCCTCTGAATGACATCACGGGCCTTTTGGCAAGGACCGAGCAGGAAATGGCTGTGACGTCGGCAACCAGAAGGGTCTTCCTCCCATGGCAGGACAGGCAGGGCTAGACTGGCTCACAGAAGGGCCTTGAGTGCTGAGTGAGGAGCAGACATGAATGCCATTAGGGTAGAGGTCCAGGCAGGAAGGAGAGAGCTCCATTTTCAGGCCCTACCGAGTGCTGGGCAATGTGCCCCCTCCTCCACTCTGACAGCCCTGTGGGGATAGACTGGACCCCTCCCATCTTACAGATGAGGAAATGGAGGCCGGGGTGGTACAGGGAGCTTGCGGCAATCCCTCAGCCAGCACGTGGGGGCTGACCATTCTGCAGCCCCTCAGGCGACGCCCTGTTCTCTTTCAGGCTCACAGCCTTTGTTCTGAAGTCCTTCGCACAGGCTCGCAGCTTTATCTTCGTGGACCCCCGGGAGCTGGCTGCCTCCAAGCGCTGGATCATCCAACAGCAGCAGGCCGATGGCTCCTTCCCAGCCGTGGGCAGGGTCCTGAACAAGGACATCCAGGTGAGTGGCCTCTCGAGCCTCCTTCCGGGGCCTCTCACCTCCTCCTGGAGCCCCAGCCCTGACCTCCTTGGAGCTGCCTGGGGCAAGTAGGGGGAAGTGGACTGTCTCCTTTGGCTTGGGTTGAGGCCTGTGAGTCCCTTCGCAGGGTGGGATCCACGGCACTGTCCCGCTGACAGCCTACGTGGTGGCTGCTCTCCTGGAAACAGGCACAGCCTCAGAGGTGAGTACAGAAGGGGTTTGGGGAGACTCGGGGCTGGGTACTGGAGGAGCAAGTGAGAGGTTCCCTCCTTTATGCCAGGGCTGATTTCTTCCTCCTTGCCCTCCTTCTGCTCATTGTTAAGGCTTTTTCATGCTTTTCATCAACAATGGTCACATTATATCCAGTTTCTTGTAATCTGAGCAGAGGAGAGAGAGATTCCCATGCTACTAGGGGGAAATCGGGCATGTGTTGGGGGCTGGGGAGGTTCCCTGGGTACAAGACCTCCCATCAGAGAATCATTTCAGGCTAGTTCAGGTTCCTGGCCAGTGACCCAAGGGTTGGCTTCAGGGAACCCTACAAAATGTTGGACTCATGCATGTTTTTGCAGGGAAGGGATTAGGATATTCAGAGACAGTGGGACTGGCTGGGGCTTAGACGGCCCAAGACACTTGAGGGCCATAGTCTCTTCTATGAGGCGTTCCTGGGGTGGGGGATGGCACAGTCTCTGCAGAGAAGGCTACCATGATGGATCTCAGCCCCAGGTGAGAAGAATCTGCCCTCCCTAATACCTACATCAATTCTACAATCTCTGATGATAAATTATGAGTTTGGGCACTTCTCAGGATTCTTGGTCTCACAATCCAGACAACTGGTGGGTCTAGGGTTTGCTGTGACGTAAGACCCCCACAATGCACAATGTCCAGAGGTTCCTTGCCCTGTGTTATAGGCTGAATTGGTTCTCCCCTGACCAAATTCTTGTGCTGAATTCCTAACTCCCTATCTTAGCTTGGGCTGCAGAAACAAAATACCATGGAGTAAATGGCTTCAACAATAGGCATTTATTTCTCACAGTTCTAGAGGCTGGAAAGTCCAAGACCAAGGCGCAGGTAGATTTGGTTCTTGGTGAGGGCTCTCTTCCTGGTTTGTTGACTACCACCTTCTCAATGTGTGTTCACGTGGTGTTTCCCTAGTGTGTGCATGTGGAGAGAGAGCTCTAGTGCTTTTCCTCTTCATATAAAGACACTAATCCTGTTACTATGGAGGCCCCATCCTCATGACCTCAATCTAAACCGAATTATCTCTCAAAGGTCCCCGACTCCTAATACCGTCATATTAGGAGTTAGAGCTTCAACATATGAATTCTGAGGAAGATCACAGGTATTCCATGATACCCCCCCATGCCTCAAATTCATCCCCCACATCTCCCATGGAAGTGGTCAAATATGTCATCTCCCAAATGCATTTTTCTGGAAACTTCCCTGCCAGAGCCCTTGACCCCCACTCTAGTTGGAATGGACAGCACCCAGGATGCTGCACAATTGCTACCCTCCTTTACTAAGGAAGGATATTGGGAGGCACATTTTTTGAGACCTTGCATGTCTGCAAATATTCTTATTCTGCCCCTGTATGATAGTTGAGCTGGGTATAGAATTCCAGGTTGGAAATTGCTTTCTTGTAGAATAGTTGATGATATTCTATCATCTTCTAGTTTCCAGTGTTCCATCGAGAAGTCAGTTGTCATTCTGAGTAACTATCCTTTGTATCTGGTTTGTTCCCTTCCTGGAAGCTTTCGAATCTTCTCATTGTCCATATCACTATGGACAACAAGATATGTGCACTTTTATGACACATATTTTGAGGTGAGGCTTCTTTTTTCCAGCTCACTGCAACCTCTGCCTCCTGGGTTCAAGTGATTCTCTTTGGCTTGGGGTAAGGCCTATGAGTCCCCTTGCAGGGTGGGATACATGGCACAGCAGCTTCAGACTCCTGAGTAGCTGGGACTACAGGCATGTGCCATTGCATCCGGCTAATTTTCGTATTTTTAGTAGAGACCAGGTTCCACCATGTTGGCCAGGTTGGTCTCAAACTCCTGACCTCAGGTAATCCTCCTGCCTTGACCTCCCGAAGGACTGGGATTACAGGCATGAGCCATCCTCATGCCCGGCCCTTCCTTATGTCTTCAATGAGCACTCAGCAGGCCCTCCACCTCCTTCCCATCCCTTGAGATCACTTCACTTCTCCCAAGAATCTTTTTCTGCCTTCTCCAGATCCTTCCAACCTATTTCTCTTCTGAATTTGAAGACCTTCCCCACAGGGCAGCAGTTGATCCTCTCCAGTCTTCTGGGTTCTGGTCTCTTAGATCAGCAGTACCCAAACTTTTTGGCACCAGGGACCAGTTTTGTGGAAGACAATTGTTCCATGGCCTGGGGAAGAGGGGCTAGTTTTGGGATGATTCAAGAGCATTACATCTATTGTGCACTTTATTTCTATTATTATTACATTATAATATATAATGAAATCATTATACAACTCACCATAATATAGAATCAGTGGGAGCCCTGAGCTTGTTTTCCTGCAACTAGACTGTCCCTTCTGAGAGTGATGGGAGACAGTGACAGATCATCAGGCATTAGATTCTCATAAGGAGTGTGCAACCAGCTGGGTGCAGTGGTTCACACCTATAATCCCAGCACTTTGTGAGGCCAAGGCAGGCAGATCACTTGAAGTCAGGAGTTCAAGACCAGCCTGGCCAACATGACAAAACCCTGTCTCTACTAAAAATACAAAAGTTAGCCAGGCATGGTGGTGCATGCCTGTAGTCCCAGCTACTTGGGAGGCTGAGGCAGGAGAATCACTTGAACCCGGGAGGCAGGGGTTGCAGTGAACCAAGCTTGTGTCACTGTACTCCAGCCTGGGCAACTGAGCAAGACTCTGTCTCAAAAAAAAAGAAAAAAGGAGTCTGCAACCTAGATCCCTCACGTGCTCACAGTTCACAATAGGGTTCATGCTCCCATGAGAATCTAATGCCGCTGCTGATCTGATGGGAGGTAGAGCTCAAGCGACGGGGAGCATCTGTAAATACAGATGAAGCTTTGCTGGCTCACCTGTCACTCACCTCCTGCTGTGCAGCCCCTTCCTAACAGGCCACCAACTGGTATCAGTCTGTGACCTGGAGGTTGGGGACCCCTGTCTTAGATCATTCCCCAAAGGAGGCAAAACCTGCTATCTTCATTTCCTGTGACTGCCATAATAAACTGCCACAAACTGGGTGGCTTAAAACAACAGAAATACATTCTCATTGCTTTGGAGACCAGAAGTGCAAAATCAAGGCATTGGCAGGCCCTTGCTCCCTCTGCAGGCTCTAAGGGAGGAGCTGTCTTTACTGCCTCCCGCTTCCAGGGGCTCCAGGCATTCTTTGGCTTGTGGCTGCATCACTCTAGCCCCTGCCTCTGTCTGCATGTCTTCTTCCCTTCTCGTCTTCTCCCCTTCTCATCTCTTAAACAACGCTGTTGCCAGGTGCAGTGGGGCATTGCTGTAGTCCCAGCCACTCAGGAGGCTGAGGCAGGAGGATCACTTGACCCAGGAGTTCTGGGCTATAGTGCACTGCACCGATCAAGTGTCTGCACTAAGTTCAGCATCAGTATGGTGACCTCTTGAGAGCAGGGGACCACCAGGTTGCCTAAAGAGAGGTGAACTGGCCCAGGTCACAAATGGAGCAGGTCAAGACTCCTGTGCTGATAGTAGTAGTGAGATTGTGCCAATGAACAGCCACTGCACTTCAGCCTGGGCAACATAGTGAGACCTGTCTCTGATTTAAAAAAAAAAATTAAAGATGCTTGTCACTGGAGGACAAGCACAGTGGCTCACGCCTCTAATCCCAGCACTTTGGGAGGCTGAGGTGGGCGGATCACATGGGTCCAGGAGTTCGAGACCAGCCTGGCCAATGTGGCGAAACCCCATCTCTACTAAAAATACAAAAATCAGCTAGGCATCGTGGCACGTGCCTATAATCCCAACTACTCGGGAGGCTGAGGCAGGAGAATCACTTGAACCTGGGAGGTGGAGGTTGCAGTGAGTTAAGATTGCACCACTGCACTGCAGCCTGGGCGACAGAATGAGACTCCGTCTCAAAAACAAACAAAAACTTCCGTGCTGATCATCAGTGCGACTGTGCTTGTGAACAGCCACTACACTCCAGCCTGGGTGATGTAGCGAAACCTCTGTCTCTTATACAAATTTGTTTTTTGAGATGAAGTTTCGCTCTCATTGCCTAGGCTGGAGTGTAATGGCGCGATCTCGGCTCACTGCAACCTCTGCCTCCTGGATTCAAGGATTCTCCAGCCTCAGCATCCCAAGTAGCTGGGATTACATGTGCCACCATACCTGGCTATTTTTGTATTTTTAGGAGAGATTTTTTTTTTTTTTTTTTTTTTTGAGATGGAGTCTCGTTCTGTCGCCCAGGCGGGAGTACAGTGGTGCAATTTCAGTTCACTGCCCGCTCCACCTCCCAGGTTCGCACCATTCTCCTGCCTCAGCCTCTCAAGTAGCTGGGACTACAGGTGCCCGCCACCACACCCAGCTAATTTTTTGTAATTTTAGTAGAGATGGGATTTCACCATGTTAGCCAGGATGGTCTCTATCTCCTGACCTCGTGATCCACCCGCCTTGGCCTCCCAAAATGCTGGGATTATAAGCATAAACCACCGTGCCCAGCCAAAAATGTTTTTTAAAAGATACTTGTCATTGGATTTGAGGCCACCCTAATCCAAGGTGATCTCATCTCAAGACTCGTAATTAATCTGCAAAGACCCATTTCCTAAATAAGTCAACATTTACAGGTTCCAGGGAATATATCTCTTTTGGCGGACCATGATTCAACCCGCTATACCTATGCTGGAATCAGATGAGCTAGGGGGCACCTAGCAAATGACCTTGACCCCTTGGAGTTCTGTTGCATCGCTTGTCTGTAAACAGGGGAGGTTCTGCACAGCTGGGGCCAGGCCAGGTCCATCCTTGCTTGGTGTGGTCTCCGCAGCATCCTGGAGACCCATCCTGACCCACAAGGCCTGGGGTAGCTCCCATGTCACTGTTCCTGCCCCTGGCATAGGGATGTCCAGCCTTCCCCCACCCCCAGGCAATGGACTTGTGAGCACCAGTCCTAGGGTCTGGCTAGTCAGCCCGGTTCATCCTGGGCACATGTCCCCCGAGGTGCATCTCAGTGTCACACCTTAGGGACAGTTCCCATGTTTGTCCTGGTCTAAGGATGGAAAGCTTTGGAAACATTCTTTCTATGACCAGGACAGTTCCGAAAGCAGAGTTAGCTCAACTCCATACCTCTATCGGGCCACCAGAACACTTTGGCTCCATTGCTAAATTTGTTAATGCTTCCTGTCACTCATTTCTTCCACATAATATTATTGGGCAGCTTCTCTGGACCAAAACCATCAGATTCTGGACTTGGTCCCTGTCTTCCAACAGATCACATTCTAGGGAGGGCATGAGCAGGGCTGGTGGACTTCTCTAAGGAGGTGACCAGGCCTGGAGGCTGGGGAGGGCTTGGGCTGTGGAGGTCTTAGGAACCAGCTATCTTTCTTCCCTTCCCTTCCTTCTTCCTTCCCTTCCTTCTTCCCTTCCTTCTTCCCCTCCCCTCCCCTCCCCTCCCTTCCCTTCCCTTCCCTTCCTTCCCTTCCTTTCCTTTCTTTTCTTCTTTTAGATGCGGTCTCACTCTGTTGCCCAGACTGGAGCGCAGTGTCTCACTGCAACCTCTGCCTCTGGGGTTCAAGGGATTCTTGTGCCTCCACCTCCTGAATAGCTGGGATTATAGGTGCCCGCCACTATGCCTGGCTAATTTTTGTATTTTTAGTAGAGATGGAGTTTCACCATGTTGGCCAGGCTGGTCTTGAACTCCTGAGCTCAAGTGATCTGCCCACCTCGGCCTCCCAAAGTGCTAAGATTACAGGTGTGAACCACTGCACCTGGCCATAGCTAGCTGTCTTAACAAAGACCCGGCCATGGGGCTGGGTGGGACAGGGTGGCCAAGGCTCTGCTTGCTTCCCCTAGAGTATCACTGTGCTCATTTGCCATGTACTTGGGCATCCTGACCAGACCTCATTTGGAAAAAGGAGTGCCAACTTATAAGAATGGTAATGGGAGCCAGGGGCAGTGGCTCACACCTGTAATCCCAGCACTTTGGGAAGCCAAGGTGGGAGGCTCGCTTGAGCCCAGGAGTTTGAGACCAGCCCGGGCAACATAGTGAGACTCCATCTCTACAAAAAATAAAACGTTAGCTGAGCTGCTGGTGTGCACCTGTAGTCCCAGTTACTGGGGAGGTCAAGGCGGGAGGGTCGCTTGAGCCCAGGAGTTGAAGGCTTCAGTGAGCTATGATCATGCCACTGCACTCCCGCCTGGGCAGCAGAGTGAGATGCTGTCTGTATTTTCTTTTTTTTTTTTGAGACAGAGTCTCACTCTGTTGCCAGGCTGGAGTGCAGTGGCAAGATATTAGCTCACTGCAACCTCCAACTCCCTGGTTTAAGCAATTCTCCTACCTCAGCCTCCCAAGTGGCTGGGATTACAGGCACACGCCACCATGCCCAGCTAATTTTTGTATTTTTAGTAGAGATGGGGTTTCACCATGTTGGCCAGGGTGGTCTCAAACTCCTGACCTCAGGTGATCCACCCACCTTGGCCCCCCAAAGCGCTGGGATTACACCGTGCCCAGCCTATTAAAAAAAAAAAAAAAAAAAAAAAGGCAAGAAAGAAAAGAAAGGAGACGGGGTTTGAAAATTGGGTCTGCAGGCAGTAAGAGCCACAGAAGGGTGCAAAGTAAGGGACTGTGAGTCATCCAGAGCTCTCCCCAGGGACGCCTCAGAAGCCAGTGGGTGGTGGGTGGGGTGGGGGCAGAGCAGCCTCCCAGGGTTTGCCTTGCCACCCCACCCTGCAGGAGGAGAGAGGCTCCATTGACAAAGCGAGGCACTTCCTGGAGTCTGCTGCACCCCTGGCCATGGACCCCTACAGCTGTGCCCTGACTACCTACGCACTGACCCTGCTCCACAGCCCAGCAGCCCCTGAGGCACTGCGCAAGCTCCGTAGCCTGGCCATCATGAGAGGTAGGTGTCCCTGGCCCTCCCCAGAGGCCACAGCGTCAGGAAGCCTACTGTGGAGCCCAGTAAACAACTCACGAACGTATTTATCAAAACTGATGAGTCATGTAGTCCCAGCTACTTGACAGGCTGAGGCAGGAGAATCGCTTGAACCCACGAGGCAGAGGTTGCAGTGAGCGGAGATGGTGCCATTGCACTCCAGCCTGGGTGACAGAGCAAGACTCTGTCTCAAAAACAAAACAAAAAACTCATGAGTCGGCCGGGCGCGGTGGCTCATGCCTGTAATCCAAGCCCTTTGGGCAGATCACTTGAGGCCAAGAGTTTGAGACCAGCCGGGCCAACATGGTGAAACCTCATCTCTCCTAAAAATACAAAAATTAGCTGGGTATGGTGGCGGGTGCCTATAACCCCAACTACTCGGGAGGCTGAGGCACAAGAATCGCTTGAACCCAGGAGGCAGAAGTTGCAGTGAGCTGAGATCGCACCATTGTACTCTAGCCTAGGTGACAGAGTGAAACCCCGTCAAGAAAGAAAGAAAGAAAGAGAGAGAGAGAGAGAGAGAGAGAGAGAGAGAGAGAGAGAGAGAGAAAGAAAGAGAGAGAGAGAGAGAGAGAGAGACAGAAAGAAAGAAAGAAAGAAAGAAAGAAAGAAAGAAAGAAAGAAAGAGAAAGAG